AGAACAAGATGGATGTTATGTCGTGGTCGACACGCGGTGGTCTGGGTGTGAGCCCAGAATGGTGAACTCGCGAGGTACTACGTATGTAAGTGGATGATGTAAGGTTGGAGAAACAAAGGCGTTGCGGCAAATTCAAACATGAGCAAGAGGGAAAAACGAGGAGAAAAAAAAGGTGAAGCCAGATCGCGACTCCTGTACATGCAGTAATATGATGACTTGGTTTGCATATGTGTATAGCTGGAATAGAATGACGGCACCCGTCATGACGTGGGTGGACCGTGTTGCGATAGGAGATCAAGAACTTGTCCGCTGCTTCCTGACAAGGCATCGCATCGGGTAACGCCTTCACTATCGGCGTCGCCGACGAATGGCGCGGGCGTGGCTACTATAGCCTGACGAACAATGCTCTAGACCAGTTCTGACACCATGTAAGAACAATGCTCTAGACCAGTTCTGACACCATGTAAGAACAATGCTCTAGACCAGTTCTGACACCATGTAAGAACAATGCTCTAGACCAGTTCTGACACCATGTAAGAACAATGCTCTAGACCAGTTCTGACACCATGTAAGAACAATGCTCTAGACCAGTTCTGACACCATGTAAGAACAATGCTCTAGACCAGTTCTGACACCATGTAAGAACAATGCTCTAGACCAGTTCTGACACCATGTAAGAACAATGCTCTAGACCAGTTCTGACACCATGTAAGAACAATGCTCTAGACCAGTTCTGACACCATGTAAGAACAATGCTCTAGACCAGTTCTGACACCATGTAAGAACAATGCTCTAGACCAGTTCTGACACCATGTAAGAACAATGCTCTAGACCAGTTCTGACACCATGTAAGAACAATGCTCTAGACCAGTTCTGACACCATGTAAGAACAATGCTCTAGACCAGTTCTGACACCATGTAAGAACAATGCTCTAGACCAGTTCTGACACCATGTAAGAACAATGCTCTAGACCAGTTCTGACACCATGTAAGAACAATGCTCTAGACCAGTTCTGACACCATGTAAGAACAATGCTCTAGACCAGTTCTGACACCATGTAAGAGAACCAGCTCACTCGACAATTCAAAACTCACTCTTTTCCGGACTAACCAAGAACTGAGGGGAAACCCTCGTCGTGGCCAGCTTCATCTTTTCAGAATCAAATGCACGGAGTCGTATTCGACTCCCTGCCGTGTTCAGAGTACGGTGTAGGAGGTAGAATAAAGATGTGTAGTTGAATGGCAAATAAAGTGTGTTCCTAAATGTGGATAGTGTGTAGAGGAATAGTTGTCCATTATGCATGAATAATAATAAGTAATTCGGGGACCACCATACAGAGCATGCAGAAAGAGTGTAAGTAATTATGTGATTGGAAGGCCAACGGGAATGGGAGAAGCAGTCTCTAAGACCATTCCCGTCACAACCATTTAGTCTTCTGTAGCTGTTTCTGTTGCTGTGTCGACTGTGCAAAGAATATACTCAGAGCGTAGGTCGAGTGCCTGGGTCGGGATTACTGTTTGCCAGCTGAATTCTTTGTCAAGATACATTTTCCCCTGGTCCCATTCCACCAACTCAAACACAACTACTACATGTAAATACAGGGTGTGCAGGCACACTGCACAAGAAGTCACACAGTCGCTATATTTGCTGTACGTTAGAATAATTTCTTTTACAGTAATTATCGTAATCATCTCGCTGATTTCACTGGACACAAACTAAGCTAAAGCGATTTCAACAACATGAAATCCCCAGCCAACAAAGTCATGTCAATAGAGAGGTTCCGGGGTACGATTTTCCGTGCCAAAATTCGTATGGGCGCTACGGATTTTTTCCAGGCGTGCTCCATACGATTTTTCGGCACGGAGAATCCGTGTGGACTGGCTTTCATACGAACCATGTTTCGTATGGAGATTTTGCGTCATCGGGTGCAGAAAGATTTTTCGCGTACAAATTTGGTACGAGAAACATCGATTTTTCGCGGGAAGTTTTGATTTCGGTACAAATTTTCAAAATAAAAATGCATAGCGCGGGAATGTGACGTGTTTGCGATCGTAACCTAGGCAATGACGGCAAACACATAAGTTCCGTACCCCGGAACTTTTCACTGCTCGAAAACGACGTATAAAAAATCCGTAGAGCCTCCACCTATTTTGGCACTAGTACTGGGGAAGACGAGTCACAAGTGCGATACCGCAACCATGCTGGGCTTGGGATTGGTTGAGGAAAGAGATGGTACACCGAGCGGCAAGTGCACTTGTCATGATTCGCTTGTCCATGTCTCTGCTGGCTCCTGATCTCCTGCCTCCCTTGTTCTTTCCCTGCCGCCTTTCAGATACTGGTCGGCCATTGACGACGCGCTGCGGCATGCAGCGTTCGACCGCGGTGTACGCGTTCGTGTGATGGCCAGCCACTGGAAGCACACTCGCAGTGACCTCGGTCAGTACTTGCTCTCGCTGGCGTCTCTGAACGGCATTCGAGCCAGTGAGCACAATGTCAGTGTGCAAGTTGTAAGTTAATGAATCATCTTTATCATCATCATTGTACTGTAAAATCGGTTGTGGCGACAAACGCGATTAGGCCGGCTGCAGGGACGCCGTAATGTCGCACTCGCCCCAGCACCATTCAAACAATTCCCTTTGGCAGTTCACGGCACGAACTTCAACAAAGCCCCGTGAATGCGTACCAGGGGAAGGCTAGACAGCATGTCTCTAGACATCAATAGGCATCGTATGAAAAGCCAGTCAATAGCACTAAAGAGCGAAAGCCTTTGTCACGGTTCGGTTTCACTCGCGCACCGGGCCCGAGCTGGCAGCACAAACAAACGCCGGGCGCGAGCTGGCAGCACAAACAAACACCGTACTCACACGAGACCGTTGGGCCAACGGATGGCCACAGCCATCAAAAACAGGAACAAACCCATCCACGGCTCTTTCTCTTGCTAGCTGTGCTGCTGCGTGCATCCAACTGTTTTGCAATTTCTGTAAAAGCACTGTTAGTCAGTTGGATCATGATCCTGCCTTTACATCTCTCCTACACGCACCCTCGCTCACGAGCCAATCCGTTTGCACACGCCTGTAACCCCCATTAACGTTTCTTACCTGCATGACGCTTTGTGTAAGCATCCTGATCCGGCTTTTGCCTCATTCGTAATACATTCTTTGTCTTATGGGTTCGATGTTGGGTTTGCTGGTCTCCGTACCTTCCGAGTCTCTCGTAATCTCAAATCAGCGATTGAGCACCCTGACATTGTCGATGCTGCCATCGGTCGTGAAATTGCCGCAGGTCGAATGGCCGGTCCCTACCAAGAGCCCCCCTTCCCACTTACACAGGTCTCCGGTTTGGGTGTGGTTCCCAAGAAGTCACGGTCGGTGCAAAAATGGCGCTTGATTATGCATCTGTCAGCACCACAGGGCCACTCAGTGAACGATGGTATCCCTATCGACAAATTCTCTGCACAGTACTGTTCGGTCGACGACGGTGTAAATCTCGCACGGTCCCTCGGCCGCGGCTGCCATCTGTGGAAGGTCGACCTCCAAGACGCATTTCGCATTTGTCCAGTACGGAAAGAGGACTGGGAACTATTATGCCTGTTCTGGCGCGGGCAATATTACGTAGACAAATGCCTACCCTTCGGCCTTCGCTCATCACCGTCGCTGTTTAACAAAGTCGCAGATGCCCTCCAGTGGGTCATGTCGCACAACTTCGACGTAGCTCCAGTCATCCACTACTTAGACGACTACCTTGGTGGAGCGACGGACTCTATCGGCGCGCAGCACCAGCTTGACCGTGCCCTGGTAGCCTGCCACGATTCCTGCTTCCCGGTCAATCCGAAAAAGGTGGAAGGCCATAGTACAACCCTGACATTCCTCGGTGTCATGCTGGACACAGAGCGCTTCGCAATCCGCCTCCCATCCGACAAGTTAGAAGACCTTCTCATTGCCCTCAAGGCTTGGCAACATACCCGCCCTACCGCCCGCAAGTCTGAATTGTTGTCCCTGATAGGTCACCTCAGCTTTGCCTGCAAGGCGGTCCCTGCGGGCCGCATGTTTCTGCGCCGCCTCATTGATCTCAGCACGACTGTCCCGAATCCAAATGATTACATCAGAATCACAGAAGACGCCAAAGCAGACATCCAGTGGTGGCTTGACTTCCTCCCTGCCTGGAATGGCGTCGCCTTCTTCCTGGAACCCACGTGGTCAGCCGCCGCTGATATGGACCTCTACACGGACGCATCTAGAGCCATCGGCTATGGTGCTTTCTTCGCCGGCCAGTAGCTCCAACACCGGTGGCAGAGGCACCAATCCCAGAGATCCATCGCTTGGATGGAGCTCTTTGCCATCGTGGCCGCAGCATCCACATGGGCACCGCAGCTGCATCTGAAGCGCATCTGCTTCCACTGCGGCAACCGTAGCGTATGCGACATCTGGCTCCGCTCACGCACAAAGTGCCCCGACTTAATGGCGCTTGTACGCACTTTGTTTGCTGCCCGACACAACTTTCACGTCATAGTCTCCCACATCCCTGGCACTGACAATGCGATTGCTGACTCTCTGTCTCGGTTTCAGATGGCCCGATTTCGCCGACTGGCACCCACAGCAGAAGAAACGCCATCTCCGGTGCCCGAGAGCACCTACTCCCTCTGATGTTGGAGGGTCAGGCCTACCAGTGGCTAGGCCTGTCAGCGTCCACACGTGCCACATACGCGACAGCCTGGAAACGACTGCACCAATTCTGCAACCTAGTCGGCACCAAGGTGATTACAGACACCATCATGCTGGCGTTTGTAGCCTACCTGGCGCGTCAACATGCTGCGTCAACCGTCCGCTTGTACGTGTCGGCGGTCCGGGCAATTGCCAAAGAAAACGGCAAAGATCTCTCTTCGCGAAGAGTGGACCTCGCAGTTCAAGGAGTGGCACGTGCACAGGCCAACCGAACTAAAAACGCCAGTAAGCCAATCCTCCTGCCCCACATGGCAGCTATGCGCAATGCCCTGATACGGTCTAACCTCAACGCTACCAACCGAGCCATGGTATGGGCAGCTATTTGCCTGGGCTTCTTTGCCTGTCTCCGGGCAAGTGAGTACACTTCCACAACCGCCACAGCCATGTCAGACGGTGGCCTCCGAACAGAAGACCTCTCCGTCACGCCGCAGGCAATACAGGTCACAATCAAGAAGTCCAAGACCGACCAACTCGGCAAGGGTCACTCCGTCCGGCTCACAACCACCAACTCAACGGTTTGCCCGGTCAGAGCCATGCATACCTATCTCTCCAGACGCGCCAACCTGCCCAATAGACCACTGTTCGTTGACAGCTGTGGCAAGTTCCTAACTGCACAAAGACTCACACGTCTAATCTGTCAGCTCCTGAGCAGCGCAGGGTACCCACCGATCCAGTATTCACTGCACGGCCTCAGAGCCGGAGCCGCAACCACAGGAGCATTGAGCGGCTTCACCGAATCCGAGATCATGAAACTCGGCAGATGGCGAAGTGCCTGCTACAAGAACAATGTTCGCTGTGGAAAGTAACTGTTCACCGTCCGCAGGCGCGCACAGCCACACCCACATACACACGCAAGCACACACCCCCACGCATGCACACACACATGCATGCACGCGTACGCGCACCCGCAGTCTGACACCGCGCAAGCATGCATGCAGGTGCACACGCTGGTACGCCCATTCGCGGACGTATGCACTCACGTACTAGCACTGACTGTGCACGCACGCCTCTGATACTTATGATAAGTTATCTGCACCACTCAGTTGCTGTGCTATAGCTCCCACCTATGGCGTCATGCCACCCATTGCTTTTGCCGACTACATGCAATTCAAACCCTTATCAGTGTCACTAAGGGAAAACAAACATACGAATGGCGCGCATTTGAACTACGTACATGTAGCTGAAGCGCTTGAATACCACACTAAGGTCATTCGGCTGACCAACGCAGAATTTGGGGGCATTCGGCGGCTTGGTCTGATTCCTAGCTTGTTGGTAACCGGCTTGAGGTTTCCACGGTTGCTATGACAACGTGCAGTCATGCGCAGGGCCACCCAACATGCATTTGGGGGCCCAGGAAAGACAGAAACGCGTTGCTAGGCAACAGCAAAAGCGCTCGGCGAGTATCACGCTACTCATGCAGCGCGCACGTTGGCTTAGGGTATCACGCTACCCTTGCGCTGCGGGGTACCACATTGCCCCTCGCTGGAATCAGACTCGCGCCCCGGATACCTTGCGCTGGCCTCCTGACGGCCAAACTCAACCAACTTGTGCGCTGTCACTGGGGTTGTGCATGTATTAGCAACACAATGTGGCCCAGGTCGGCAGACTTTCAATTAGCCAAGCGAGCTACTCAGGCCAGGGTGCATGATCACTATTCGCAGCACTTATCGTCCATGCAGCAGTCGGGTTAATCACAATCATCAGCAGCAGCAGTAGCAGCAGATATATTGACCAGGGATGAATTTATCCTGTATCTTATCGCAGTTTGCGATGCAAAATCGATCTACTGCTACTCAAGAGTCACCGTGACTAGCAGGAAATTGCGATACATACAAGCTGTCCATGCCTAGCCTGCGCTGTCAAGTAACATGCATACAGTGCAGTGTATGTGGCGCAGGTACTCTCAATCTGCGTGCACTTGTAGGCTTCAGTCGGGTTTTTTTTGCAAATGGGCTTTCAGGCATCACTATCAAGAAGGACAATGTGGTAAACACCCAACCTTCCAAGAATAATGCTCATCAAAATCAAACTGACTGCTACACAATTGTGATTTCGTATAGCAGAAACTGCTATGTAAAAATTTGACACTAAATTCATCCCTGTTGACACTCAGTCGCATCCATCATTGTTTCATTGTTTCATTGTTTCATTTGTTTAATTTGTTTGTTGCTATACCATGTTGAGCATTGATGTTCATACATTGCTATTCGAAGCTTGCTATAACCCGTACTGTCTTGTTTGTATTCCATTGCTGCCCAATGTGCTTCTAGCGTTTCTTTGTCGTCAACGCCAGTGAGGACCAGCAGAACATCTCGTACGCACGCGTGAACCACAACAAATACATGGTGACGGAGAACGCTGCGCACATAGGTACGTGTGCCCTTGTGGCCTTTTGTTTGCTTTGATTGTGAGTGTCCTGTCAGTTGGTGCCTTCTCTTCCCTTCCACCTGTGTTCTACTGCCTGCTTGATTGGTTGCTATAAAGTAACATTTTTATCATAATTTTCCTTCTCCAGAATGAACAGGCACCGCTACTTTCTTCCATGGACAAGTGAATTGTCCAAGCTCTCGCGGAGCCACGAAGAAAGGAAAGACATACGACATGAGAGTGTGTAGCATGCAAACAAACAGAAGAGATAGAGAGACACACAGGCAGACAGACAGAGACAGACAGAGAGACAGAGACATAGAGAGGCAGAGAGAGACAGACAGCGACAGACAGACAGACCAACGGAGACAGACAGAAACAGACAGACAGAATGTGTGGGTGTGGGGTGTGTATGCGCACATTCGTGTGTGTGTTGTACTACCTCAATGCTCATGTTATACTAGTAGACCATCTTCTTTCTGCATCCCTTGCTTTGCACCAGACACGTCAAACTGGTCCAAGGATTACTTCACTGATACGTGCGGCATCAACTTTCTCATCAACCAGACTGCGGCCATTCGAGCGGGAACACCCGCAGCAGACACCATCCAGGGTCAACTTCAGGCAGTGTTCGATCGCGACTGGAACTCACCGTATGCTCAGCAGGTAGTTGAAAGTCTCCCTACGGATATCAGATAGCACGTGGCATCACAGGTACAGCTCAATTGTGTCTACCGTTTAACGTCTTGCTTATGCTCCACAATGCTCAGGCCGCCTTCTTATGCTTCAGTGTGTTCTGTGAGAGCATTTTTTTAGATTGACGAATGGGCTGTACGTGCAGGCAATCTCTTTTCTATTCGTTTGCCGCGGCTCACCTTGAGATCACTTAGTGTGTGGTGTAGGTGTTGTGTATTTGCTTGATCCAGGCCACGCCATGCACACGCTGTGTGTAAGTATGTCCAGTGATCAGTGTGCCTGCGTGCACTGAACAGACACCGGGTAGGCACTGACCGGATACTGTGTGCAGGTGCTGCGCCACCGGCTGATTCTCTTCAGCGATAACGACTGGCATGCGTGATTGTATAGCAGTTAGGTGGCTGGCCATCTACGTTGAGACCGATCGATCTTGCACAGTAATTAAAAAGCCTTTGTGAATAATAGCAATAAAGAGAACAAATCCTGCAGTGCTATTATAAAATTGTTGTCTCCACGTCGATTATTTGCATACCTTTGTGAATACTTGGCTTATTTTTTTAACTGTCCTCAAATTTTAGCTTACATTTTTATGGCTGTGAAATTTAGGCAACACGACCCTGGCAGGCTTGGGGTGCTTTTTTTAATGATCTCATTTCTTATGCTGGTAGAAGTTTCTAATGGGAACATCATTGTTTCTTCCTATAATCCGGTGCCACACCTGCTGATTTCACTGGTCCACTGGCTCAATGCTTATGATTGTATGAACTTGATGTCTCTACAAGTACATGTAGCCGCTCTAATCTAACGCACTCGCTCAGCACTGCTGTAGCTGCAGCTTCTTGGCCCTGACACTGCTGTCTGTGCTATAAAGCCATGGATATAAATATTATAATGATTGATGCAGGCAAGTTTACTAGTATTGTACTCGTGATTCATTGCATTCCAGGTCATGTTCTGTCATTGTGGCCAGTGGCATGAATGGTGTTGGCTGTGTTGGCTGACTTGCCGCAGCAGCTCTTACAGGGTGCGGACTGCAAGTGGAAATATCCATCAATAATGTTTTGGTATCAGAAAGTGTTATAGGTTTCATGCAAGCTCGGTTTTTCTTTGCCGGGGTAGCCGGGGTAGCCGGACCGTTTTCCTTTCCTCTGGCTGCCCAGATACTACATTGTAGTGCATCTTTAATCCCAGGTTATGTCTTTAACAAAAAAGGAATTTTTTTAAAGAATTTATAACATCCCTATGCTTTTTTTTGTCTAGGTCATCAAGGCAAAAAAGCATAGCGTAGGGCCCTGAGCTTCCAAGCTCTCTCGTTTTGGATTCACTATTCAAACGGGAAAGGGACCCAGCATGCAGGGAGCTAGCCCTACACATGCCGATGTGTATGGTATGTGTAGGGCTCCCTGGTGTCCAATGACATCAGTTACTTTGCATGCATTGAAGATGATGGAGTCGGGACATTTCCTGCGCATTAATGTTTTGGCCGGACGTACACCATGGACCATGGTACACTACCGGCATCAACAGTTTTGTGTATCACTTCCATCAAGAGAACATAACTCCCATTGCCCCAAGGCAAGAGTGTGCAACTGCCTGCACAACCTCTATGCTGTGCTGCGACGGCAGAACTTCACATCACGTGACATGGTTCAAAAGGTTATGCTGGCAAACAGTGCAAAGTGACCGCAAGAGAGTTGCACCCAAAGCTGGGCTGCGTACAACCCTGTATCTATCATCAAGAGTTCATAACCCCCAAGAGTGTGCAACTCCTGATCAGTCCCTGTATGGAAGCCCGCTCGGCGGAATTCCTTCATTGCGTCATTTTTGGTGCAGTGCGATGAGTCACACCGATGAATTCTTCTAAAATTTACAGTCAAACCAGTCAAATCAGGATGCTTCCCCAGGGTAAACTGCCTAATCTGCGATTCTAGTCTGAGTCTGAGCCTCACAGCAAGAAGCAAAAGTGAAACGAAGCACACGATCCTAAAGACAAAACTATTCATTTTTTCGATGCAATGGTGACTCTTCATCGCCTTCTTCTTTCACCAGTGCAGGCAGTCTCTTCAAGAACAATTTCTTCCCCAGGCCATCGGCATATTTCCGGTGCTTTCCTCGACGTATTCTCTCAAGTTCCCGGGAGTCAACCATTTGAAATCGTCTTCGAAGGAGCATTTTTCGGCTGAGTTGCATAGCTATCAGAATGATTGTCCTCGACGGCAATGCAATATTTTTAACAGCGTCCTCACTTCTTCCTGTCGCGATGTCCATGGATTCTTGGAGAAAGAGTTTGTTTTTGAGAAAGTACGACTTGTACGTCCGAAATGGCTTGAAAAAAGCTTCGAAAAGTCGAGGCTACAGCCTTGAGTTAGGAGCGGTTCAGGGTATAGTTTCCAGAAATCGCAAAGAACCCAAATTTACCTCGGATGACAAGCTGCACATGACGTAATGTAGGAATTTCGCCGAGCGCTGGGTCTATGCCCGTTGCACACTCTTGGGGGTTATGAACTCTTGCTATCATGCACAGAGTGCAAATAATGTGTACGGGTTCATCACGTGATGTGAAGTTCTGCCGTCGCAGACCCCGGGCTGTAGTTGCACACTCTTACTCTTACTCTTCTTACTCTTGCAGTCTTGGGGGTTATGTACTCTTGCTTCCATCCATACCAGGGACTAGTCCCCCTGCTTCGTTCGATCCCAAGCCGCAAACCAAGGTCACGTGGGTCGCGGGCGCGCCCTGGGGGTGGGGGGGGGGGGGATTGTTGAAGCGTGTGAGGTACCAGGCAGTGGTCCGTATTCGTAGTACAACTACATTGTACTACAAGTCAGTACCAGGGAGTCGTAAAATACGGTATTTTACGACTCCCTGGTCACTGTCAGTACAGCCTACAGGTACACAGTGCTGGCAACTGAAATCCGATCCCCTGGGCGGCGCGTTCACTTTCTAGCGGCCTCTATTTCGGGTCTTTGCGATGTGAGCGCACCGCTCAGGGGGTCGGATTTCAGTTGCCAGCACTGTACTATCGCCTATGTACTGTTTGTCGCGTTTGTTACCTGGTTACATGTACTCAACATCTCATGCACTCCCTTCGCACGCACAGGCACAGGCCATTTTGTGAAGAAACAACTCTCAACGACGCTATCGATATCGCCTCGGTCGACATCGCCGTCTGGGAAACATCGGACGCGACTTCGCCGCGTGTTGGCCGAGGCGAACAAGGACAAGGTGGTGAAAGTGCAGCTCGGAAACTTGGTTCGCACGGGTGCTGTACCGAACTTGTCAAGTAAACGCCCGCAGCGTGGTGGAATTTTAGCAATCCGTAAAGTTACCTTGAGTAGTACTAGTAGTACCTATGTAAGAGCCTGTTATTCGTATTCGTCAAGACGCGGTGGTGAAGGGACTTCCGAAACCAAACTGTGATCAGTAGGAATACAGCGTTTGATGACACAGCCAGTACAGCGGCAACAAACCTTCTGCAGTGTCCGGTGCACGTGGTTTCCGAACATCCCACAGCGTCACAAATATGCTCCTGTCAGTCACCGTCACCCTCGTCGCTATTCTGCTCACGGTGTTCTCGGCCAAAGCACAGGATTTCGGAGATGCGCCAACTCGTAAGCACTAGTTTGTTACAGCTGATGGAAAGGATTCTAAAATTGTGTTCTGCTCGCTGTCGACCGACAGTTCTCTTTGCCAGTTTAAACTAACTTGAGGGTACTGGTGCTGAAAGTAATCATTGCCAAGATCCACACGAATACCCACATTTATACCACATTTATGCGGGTGCATTTGCAACCATTTTTCATGTGTCTACACGGTGCAGTTCATTTTTTAGAAACTCTGAAGCAAACCTGCAGCTGTGCATATGATTGTGACAGCTGGTAGTCAGGAGACACTGCCAGTAGACAAATGAGCAGAACGAGAATGAGCGCCGCCGCCGGCTCGTGCACCCTTCCTCTGCTGGCCAAAAAAATGGCGCAGCGAAGACGGCCGGCGGCACTAGCATCAACAGCAAGGAGCAGTACAGTGTTGGTACTGCATTGTACTAGTCTCTGATCAAAACAACGTCCGGCATTATATCGGGTGTGAACTGATACTCTCCTGCGGGGTGACCAGAGCAGCCCTGACCACTTCTAATCCCGGAGACTTCCTGGGCAAGGCTTTCCTTTTTCTTCTCTTGCCATGGCTGGCTAACGCCCCCTCCTTTGCATTGGCTTCTGCCATTGGACGGTGAAATAAAAAAATTAGAAAATATATAATACATATACGCGTGACATATCATTTTGATCAGTTCATCACACTGCACACACCTATGCTATTCATCACGACTCATGTGCGCCTCGGTCTCAGACCTGTCAAGTGTCGTGCATGCACCGTGTACATCTACACTTCCTGCGCTGATGTGTAGATCATGTGCGGCACTAGCATCAGACTCAGTGCAATGCGTACATTGTACAATGTACTAGTAGGATGCAACGCGGTCGCGGGTGGGTGGTCGTTGGTCGCGTTGAGCGAGTGCTCGCCTTATCCGAGCTGTTTTGAATGTGAATGCGTCCGTGACAAGGAAAAGGGTCGCCGTGGTCGAGTGCTCGCCATATCCGATTGGTCGCCATTACAGGTTTTACTGCATTTCTACCAGGATGGTTTGGATAATTGATGTTCTTACGACCGTGTGTATGTGTGCGCTTCTGGCATGCCGGTCAATGCAGGATAGATCTTCTGGTACATGTACATGATAGCTTGTATGTATTTATTCGATGATGAAACTGTATCACATGCTTGTAGTGACTCTGCTATGTACAGTTCGCGTGTATCTGAGACTCTCTCATTATCCCGAACACTCCCCTCATCCAAACCCCGTCTGAACTGTTTGTGCCGCGGATGGTTTGGATAATTGATGTTCTCACGACCGTGTGTTCTGCGTGTCACCGTCTTGCTCTGGCGGCGGCCTTGGCTAGGTGTTGTATTTCAACCAATTCCGGCTGTTAATGGCACCCAGGCTAGCATCACATGCGTTACGACAAGCGAAGTCGAGCGCAACGATGTCGAGCTATTTCGAGACAGTTCGATGGTCCAGGCCAGTGACAGAATAATGGTAAGCATGGTGTAGTCAATGTGCATTCGAGGGATGCTGGGGGGGGGGGGGGGGAGGAGGAGGAGTGAAGTCTGTATCTTGCTTACTCAGTTTTAACACCGTGCACATTGTGATTCGGAGGTAAGGCTGCAAAAGCCTGATAGAAGTGCAGTAGGAAATGTGTACAGTGGGCAGCTCCAGGGAGAAAAAGGGGGAACTAGGTCACGGGCTTATGCAGTGCAACTGGTCCTATTTCCTATTGAGCAGCAGCAGCAGTAGCAGCAGTGCACGGATCTACTCCAAGTGACTCGTGTATACAATGCTAAGAGCAGGTGATGATGATCTGGCTTCAAACCAGTTCAAGAGTCAGCAGTGTTCTCAACACCCGGGAAGCAGTGTCACGAAACAATAGCCTGCTGTCATCTGATCACGGCTGTCTGTTTTACTCGTTCCTTGTGTAACCCGACTGCCTTGATAAATTGCTTCCTGGGTACTGCAGGTGAATCCGCCGCGGGGTCCGGCCGGTGTTTTGGAGCGCACATGGACGTTCAACCCCGTACTGCTGTCGGACATGGGGACCTATAGGTGTAGATTCGCAGTAACTTTGCCACAGGCCGTTGTGCGGGGTAAGTCAGAATATATCTTTTTCCTGTGTCTGTCTTCTGAATTGCTCCATGTACCTCCTCCCCTCCCCCCCCCCCCTCTCTCATTATCTATTTGAAGTAAACAAAATTTGAACTAAAGATATACATCTTTCCCTCAAACCAGTGAATAGAGATGTACATAATAATACCGTATTTCCCGTAAGTTAGTTCTCCCCATTGACTTAGTACCCCCCTATAAAAAATACACTTTCCACTGCCGAGGTTATCACCCCGAAAGACAGTCCCCCCCCCCCCCCCCGAAAGATAGTAAGTTCGTACCCGTCCTACATGTACAGACACCGTACAGTACATACATCATATGCACGGACACTAGAGTTGCACAGGCTTCCCACTGCGTGTCATTTACCCCCGATAAAAAAGTACTCCCCGAAAGATAGTACCACCCCCGAAAGTTAGTACTCATGTGGATGCTAAGTTCGAAAGTTAGTACGTACTAACTTATGGGGAAATACGGTAGTCATTCTTATGCCCACGTGTGGAAGGGTGCAGCTGACGAACCTGTGCTCCTTGTCAGTCACTTGGCACCTGCGAGATTGCACCCCTTCCTCTCGCTGCTAGGCACTGCATTTGCCACCTAGGTCTAATCAGGCATGGCTGAAATGATAAGCTGTGAAGCTATCCTTTTTAGGCCCCGGTCACACCGAAACAAGCCACTTTGGGCTTGTTATCGCTGGCGCTCAGCTGGCTTGCGTGATCCCTGTGACGCGGTCACACCAGACCTTGAGTGCAATGCTTGAATGGCTTGTTTTTCTTACCCGCCAAATTTTGAATATCTCGAAACACACCAATGTTTGCAAGAAACTGGAGAGCAGAACGTTCGCGATCTAAAACTGTACTTGTTCTAGTGTTCAGTTTTGATGAAGAAGCAAAGGAAGCCCGGATTCTGAATTGCGAAGTCGTGCTCTTTTTATTTGTTCGGTGTGCATGGACGCGATGGTTCGGGTGGTGTTTCCTGATGTCGAGCTTTCTGCCCCGCCGGTTGCCGTTATTGAACTCAGCTGCAATCCACTCTCTTCTTCGTACCCGGCTTTCTTCATGAATTCGGTCGTGAGTGTGGTGCCTTGTCTTGGCCTCAAACCACAGCTCCAACAATCTACGCAGCAGTCTAGAGGCACAGCGGCAGAAATCCATGGTCGTCGGACAAAATCCAAATCAAACTGAATACAGTGTAGTTGGGGTAGACAGACTCACGGTCAAAACCAAAGGCACAGGGATAGCACGGTTCCACGGACACAAGAAAGAACATCAAAATCAGTTCATCATGTCAACTTGCTCCGGAGCTCCAAGCGCACTCAAATTATTTTTTGAATTTCGGCTTTCAGCCGCTTGTACAAGCTGTGGCTGAAACAAGCCGAAAAAAAACGGCTGAGAGTCAGCCACGGCTGAAAGTCGCTTGTAGGACATTTTTCAGCCATTTCCATGGTAATAGTGACGTAAACAAGCGCTTGTTTCGGCTGAACGGCTGAATCGAGCTCGGTGTGACCGCGGCCTTAGGCTCTGCTCCAAAGGTGTTACTCCAGATGGATTTGGGAAGTTCCCAAAGAATTGCGAATGCAATGCACTCTTCTTGTGCACGACACCATTGCATGTAATGCATGAAAGGTTGCTATGTGCTGTGTAGTGAAACAGGTTGATTGTCCCACCTATCTCTTGCGAGTCACTAGTTGGACCTCAGCCACGTGACGCATGAGCGCCTCAGTACTATTGTAAAGTACAACCTCCCACGGCTTCACGCGGAAACTGCTGACATCTTGTCACAAGCAGTGCAAGCCGTCGCACCCCTACGCCATGTCACTTCCCACCCTCCTGAGTAGGTCATGCTGCACCTTTCCCTGTGATTCAAGTGTGCACCATGACTAACCTGATGACCTAACATTCTCACGTTCCCCGTGGAGAACCCCGGCTTGCGCGATGCCTACAGAAACATACCTTGCACGAAGTAGACAGTATGCAGTTAGATTGTATGTTACTCAACCCTTTGCATAGGTGTGCATCACGAGTATCTTCAAACCTACATCAACTTGCTACCGTCGTCACCTCCTATACCCGACGCCCTATACTGTTGTGTGTTGAAGGACCCTTGGTATCTGGCTTTAGTGTTCATTTCAGGTTGGCGATTCCCCGAAGTCGCAGCCCAAATGTGGCTAGCTCTACAAATAGCTTTCTTGTACCTTGTGCTTGGCTATGGGCCTGTTTCAATTCTGCCATGGATGAAGTGTTTGTATTTGGCCAGTCATAAAAATGACAATGAAATGCCCGGTGACGTCCAGCTTGCTGGCACATACCCTGCAGTGTGCAAGCCTGCAAGGGAACACTAGTCGGTGATGCTTGTGTTCTGAGAACGTCTGACAATGAGACGTCCAGCTCAGCCCGCAGCTGACTCCATACTGCAAACCAGGGACTTTCCCCCGTGTGCAGTGAGGCGGGGGTGTTGGACAGCCAGATGCAATGTGTTGGTAGTTACTGGAGATGCTGGGTAGGAGGATGATGATATAGCTAGGACGAAGTTGTGTGACCGTGTGGCGAGCTTGACGCACACTGCTGGTCCAAAACATCCTGTGGACCATCAGCCTGACATGATTCTGTAGATGGGTAAGACCAAGATGAAAGGAGCCAGTTACACTACCAACTCTTCACTGCTTTGCAGAGTTGAGTTGAGTAAGGTACCGATTACTTTATGACATACATGTACGATTTTGTAATCCATACCTTTTCCTTGGTTACCGCTTCTTGACTTTCCTGTGTGTGTGTATGTGTGTGTGTGTGTATGTGTGTGTGTGTATGTGTGTGTGTGTGTGTGTGTGTGTGTGTGTGTGTGTGTGTGTGTGTGTGTGTGTGTGTATGTGTGTGTGTGTGTGTGTGTGTGTGTGTGTGTGTGTGTGTGTGTGTGTGCATGTGTGTGTGTGTGTGTGTGTGTGTGTGTGTGTGTGTGTGTGTGCATGTGTGTTTGTACAGTGGTAGTACCTCTGGCACCGTCCACTCAAATCGACATCCAGGCTTGCTCGGTGTACCGCGTGGAGAACGACTCCTACTACCTGCCGCAGGGGCACATGGAACTGCTGGATCTGAACGAGACTCTGCGTCGCAACGACAGCGATGTGATCAGGCCAGACGCGGGAAATCTGCTGGTTTGCCAGCTCGTGTCTGCCTCGAGTCGGAACTTGGCCGCGGGAAACGTGCGCTGGTTCCGGCATACGGTTCGTGCTGAAGCAGTTGAGACTGTGCCAGTTGGAACGGGCGAAGACGTAAGTCGTTGTGTTGTGACAGGTTTCACCTTTCTGCGTACAATCTTGTGTTGATATGTGATTGTATTGTAAGTAACCAGTCTCTTCGGAGGCGTGGGTTCGAATCCCACCGCTGCCACCAATGTTGTAACTAACTTTTCTCCACCTGCTCCCAGTCACGTGTCATCTCCACACTTATACAAAGGACGACGATAGCTACATTCAGAAAGACCGTTTATTACAAGACGACTACGGAAACACAACTACAGTCTGTTTCAAAAAGATTTACAATCAGGTTTGGGTCTTAAAAAGTATGAAGATAAGGGAAATTTGGACAATAAAATACATAGAATGGCTTGTTAGGACACGGCAAATTGTTCTGTGAAGGTTTCGGAACAATTGGACCAACCGTTAAGGAGTTAGAATTTCGGCCAGGTTTCCGGCCTTTTCCCATGGTTTACAATTTACCCAGGAAGCCAGTATCGATTTTTTAACCAAAACCCACGATTTATCCTTTCCTTTTTGGCCTTGTGGTTATGAATGCTGTCTGCTGACCATGAAGTTGTGAGTTCAAATCCCAACCTATCCTCAAGTCAAACTTTTTTTTCATTGTTTTGCATTTGGTGATGCTGGTACAAGACAAAGAAGATGGCTGCACCAAACGACTTGTTGGAGCTCGCACTTCCTGCCGAACTGACTGACACTTGACTGGCTCACGCCATGTGAACACACCCACAACACTGCAATGGTGTGAGTGAATATACTGGAAGTCATCGCGCTGTAGCTTTTTGAGATTTATTTTAGTATTTCAAGATCCGGCCAATTTATTTGAATTTAGCAGTCAACGCCGTCTTCTATCAGCGTTCACAAGCGTGTGCGTTTCTGAAAATGTCGTCGAAGTCACACGGATAGCTTTGCCAAGTCATGGCCTTGGGAATGAGTCCGTGTCGATGTCGTTTTCGTCACACGGTGAGTAAATTGCATCGCAGCTCAAAGAAACTATTTTGGTCACAAAACGAATTCGGACCCATGCCGCTCGTCAACATTGACAACATTTTCGTTTCGACATGTCCTCTCTAGAGCTCTGACTCCATTATCGATACGAGGAAGAACTCGTTTGTTGTAAACCAGACGTACATGACTGTATCAACGTGAGTGAGTTGTCATTTTTCCTGCTTTCGCGCGGAATATTTCTTCGAGTTCACAGTGAGTTTTTCCAGGCAGCGCTCGAGTGCTCATACGGTAAGACGCCAAACTCCGCGGGCGATCGCCAGGATTGCAAATCTTTTTGAAACGGACTATAGACATGACGAACTCAAGATGAAGACTGATTTTCAGTGTTTTCACACCACAGCAACGCGCGCATTCACCAACACCACGTACACACGGCGTACACAAAATAACGTACTGCAACAATTGCATGGGTGGCTTGATTGCACCCACCTTGCCATGATGCTGTGAATAACATCCCATTGAGGACTGCATGATGAGCGGTTCACTGATAGCCAATTGAGTAATCTTTGTAAGATTCAGTTGAATCTCTGTCCCCTCGTTCGGGAGACCCACGTGACCTGTTTTGGCAGTGAGAAAGCACAAGTACAAGTGTGTGTCCATGTGTGTATTCAGTGTGTGTGTGTGTGTGTGTGTGTGTGTGTGTGTGTGTGTGCACATGTTTGTGTTTGCAGGACATCAGTATAATACTTCAGCCATTCGTCATGGACAGAATCTGGCTGGTGGGGCTGAACATACCGCGGCCGGATCGCGACGATGCTGGCTCGTACACATTTGAACTGATAACGGGCTCTGCTATGAACGTCTCCAACTGCAGCATGGAGAATGATCAGTGCAACTATCCTCTACTCTTGAATAGTACGTCATGTGTGTGTGTGGGGGGGGGGGGAGGAGGAGGTATGGCTGCAGTGCTGATAGGTCACTTAGGCATCGGTCACACTACGGCAAAATGCTGCGTCAGCGTCAGAATCATGAGCTTTTCCATGGCAACTGACGAAAACGCGGGAAATTTGAGCGTCAGACGCAGCTGCGTCTGACGTGAGGGAAATCGGCTGCGTTGCCGCTGACGGGAGGGACGCTTGGTGGAAAAACAGTGTCTTTCAAGACAGTTGCTTAAGTTGACCAGTCATTCGACATTCGTCTCCTCACGGTTTATTTTGTTCCCTCTTTTTTTCGAGATGAGTCCGTGGACCTACGAGGCCGAGGCTACTCTGCTCCGAACCTGGCGGAAGAGCGAGGCGTTTTCTGAGAAGAAAATGATGTCGAAAAAGGACCCGTAGTATGAGTGGGTCATCGCTCAACTGGAGCCTGTTGACTTGTGAGTGTTGTTATTGTCGCCAAGTGCCCCAAAAAAGGACAACCAGTATGACAAAGTCATAAGAAACACACCTGCGGTGCGGACTTTTCTTGCCCGATCCATGACACTACAAAATGACACTACAACTGAAAAGGGCCTCAAATTCGGAAAGAAACAACAACGAATTTTACGATCGTGCACGCATGGACCTTTTGTCTTCTTGTAATAATGAAAAATGAATGAACAATTTGAAAACTTTGTCCGACAATTTTTTTGTATAATAAACAACAGGCCGGTTTCCGTGGGAATCTGTGTCGTCATTGAGTTTCCCTGGTGATTTTGTTGACGTAGACAAATGCGTCAGGCCGCGGCAGTTATGCGCTGTAAAAAAAACCACTGTGTGACCCCACGTCTGTGTCAAGTGCTACGGCTTGGCGCTGCATCCAGCTTCCAACTTGCCGTAGTGTGACCGAGGCCTTAGCATACTTACAGGTCAATGAAGATGGTCAAGTACGGGGGCAGTACCGCTGGTCAAGATGGTATGAAGTGTGGGGTGGTGGTGGTGGCACTGTGACACTACAAGAAAATGGACTGCATACGTCCAATCAATAATCGTCAATGAGACTATAGCTGTAAGAATGGCAATGAGTATAACAAGGTTGGGAAACTGGTATACTTGTTTATGGTTACGATTGGACAATTTATTTTATTCATAGCCATTATACATCCAAGGCTTCACGATTATTTCATGTCCGCATTCATCTTGTACGCTAATCATTTGCCGGCGCAAGGTCTTCAGTAGTAGAATGGGAAAAGCGAGTTGTAGTTTATCATCTTAAAATGCTGCATGTAGAGTCCGTATCTAACTGTGGACAATCTGTGGGGCTTGAGTTAACGGTTTTTTCTTTCTGTGCAGGTGCGTGTACCTGAATGTACGAATATGCATGCACTCTCTGCACTCTCTGCACTCTCTGCACTCTCTGCACTGTTTGATGATCGCTTGTCAGCATGAAAAAAGAGTTCCAACACTTCCCCCCTTTCTCTCCATATGTGCATGCACTGTTGGTGTACTGCAGCTGGACCCAGCATTGAGACCGGACTGGAGAACTTTGAAACCAACAAGGGTAGCGCCAAGACAGCCATGTGCGTAGCAACCGGCGTGCCAGCACCGACTATAACCTGGCTCTTCGAGAACAGAGCCCTGGATCTGACCTCGACTAGCCGTATTTTTGTCACAGTCTTCAAGTAAGTCTCTCTGTGTGTGTATGTGTGTGTGTGTGTGTGTGTGCGTGTTTGTGTACGTGTGTGTGTGTGTTTGTGTACGTGTGTGTTTGTTTACGTGTGTGTGTGTGTGTGTGTGTGTGTGTGTGTGTGTGTGCGTGTGTGTGTGTGTGTGTGTGCGTGTGTGTGTGTGCATGTGTGTGTGTGTATGTGTGTGTGGTTTCATGTGACTGTAGTCTGCTGTTGAAATGAATGGCGTCGGCTGGATTTGTATGATGGCCAGCCGCCGTTGATGTGTGCTGCATCATCAGCGTGTCCAGCCCGCAGTCTTGGCCAAGTGCCGGGACACTCCAGCAGCTCACTGTTCTGACATACCTGAGCAGCTCAGCACATGATGTTGAGGCTATACCAGTACAGTACTATCTGCACCGGGGCATTTGTTGGTCTAGCTGTTCACATGCCCTCATGTCCTCATGTACACTTTGCACTGTGATCACAGTATGCACTACCGCTGTAAGTCAACAAATATTCGGCGCATAGTGATTTTTGGCTATTTTCGGCCTGGTCATGTTTGGCCGAAAATTTGTTGCAGCCAAAATTTAGTTTTGCGGCCGAAATGGGTTTTAGCCCTGGGAGGCCGAAATTTGAATGGGCCGAAAAATTGTCGACTTCCAGTATACAAATTTAACTCGGATACTGAGCCAAAAAATATAATTAAAATAGAAGAAATCACCTGGAAACGACTTCTGAAGCAACTATCCACGACTGTAACAAGATAATAAGCAGTCAGAAAGTCAGAAATATCTCTGATATTGCTCACCCACCCAGGTTGGGTGGTGTGCTGCTTTGCTGCTTCGAATTATAGTTAGACCGCATTGTCATCGTATTAGCTGGTCCCGTCATGGTCCTGTAACAGTCGGCATTCTTTGTTGCCGTGGGACTTAGCTTTTGCACATTTTCGCTGCGCTCACCTTCCTCTCGTTGGTCTTACAAGAACCTTGAACCGTCCAAGCTGGAAGGCTGTTGGTTTGCGCACTGGAGGTGTGTGGGAGCTAGGTCTCGGGTCGTTGAATGTCACAGTAACATGTCAGTTTTGTGCCCTGTAATCGCACTTTCTGACTGCTTGTTATCTTGTTACGGTCGTGGATAGTTGCTTCAGAACTCGTTTCCAGGTGATTTCTTCTATTTCAATGAATTTACAGTATACAGTTTCAATTGTTATTCTTGTTCTGCCTGTTCTCTTCTCTGCCCCACAGTCCCGTCAATGGCAACCCATTTCGGGTGAGAAGTGTGCTCACGCTAACCGACACCCAGTATGATGACCGAGGCAACTACCGCTGTGTTGTGCAGTCTGTGCGGCCGGATGGCCTTGTCATCGGCAATACCGATAGCACAGCACTGTTCAGAGTACGCGGTAGGTTCTTTCTTTCTGCTGCTGCTGCTGCTGCTAAGAGCAGTGATGTGTGTACACAGTGTGTTCGTGTTGCCGTGTCCACGCCTGTGCAGTACCTAATTTCTGCCTGTAGAGTGGCTGCTGCTTTTGTGGTCTTGCCCGCTAGTTATTAGCACTGTTGTGAGACGAAGGCTGTGTGCCAGCTGCCCATTCTTCTTCTGCTGTTGTTGTTCGTGTTGCCAGATCCTATCGGTGCCGTATGGCCATTCCTGGGCCTTTGCGGACAGTTCTTAGTGCTCATAGTTATCCTGTACGCTGATCGATATCGCCGGATAGTGAGGAAGCGACGCGTCGATGATGAAACAGATGGTGGTGCCGATGGTTCTGAGGGTAAGCAATATGGCCTGTGTGCTTTGTATGCACCTTGCAGTGTATGAATCGTGTGTCTTTGCAACAGGCATGCAGATGCTTGTACAAGTCTACCACATCTAGTATTATGTGTGCAAAACAGTAACAAACGTAAGGCTACTGTTCTTTGTTACTCTGTTAGTCCCTGACAAGCAGCAGTTATTGGCATACATGCACGTCTGTATTACTGGCGAAGTCGTTTAACGGCCCTGAATGCGTAAAAATCGGGATGCCTGAGCACTAATCCACGGCTGCCACCTGCCGCTCCTGCATGGGCGTTATTTCGAGTGGGCGTATACACGGAACTTTACGGTATTCAAAACTTCTTCCGACGCGCCTGCAATTCATTCCGCAACGAAACTACTAGTAGATGTACGGCGCTGCTCAGTGAAATCCAGTCATGTCACTCAAGTACGCGCCGGGGGTTGCGCAGCCCCAGACCTGCGAACACTGGGCTGCGAAAAGGTGCATGGTGCAAACTTGAGTGACACGACTGGATTTCATCGATTTCATTGAGCAGGACTGGACATCAGGCCTCGTGAACAGCTCGTCGAGACATTAGTGTGAGAGGAAGGCATCTACTCGAATCGGGTTTGCATGTGCCCGAAGTACGTCCCTGAGCTCGGCAGGATCTAGACACATCAGTGGTCTGCACTGCACACTTTGCGTCAAAGTGAAGGACTATGCCGTCTATGGCTCTGTCATGCATTTAACCACTGGCAGGTTCTTTGTGAGACATTGTGAGGCACTGAGGCATTGCGAAACATTGCGAGGCATTGGGGGACATTGTGAGGCATTGTAAGGCATTGCGAGGCATTGAGAGGCACTGTGAGGCATTGAGAGGCATTGGGAGACACAGGTCAGTCTGGCTGGTGTGGCGGTACTTTGCATCAGTTCAGTAACCGAATGTTTTGGTGAATAGCACCTCTTCTAATTGTCCACAAACTCCAACTTAGCCACTTAGACATTTAGGAAACTTCACTTCTCAACTCAACTTGAATCACAGTGAAGAGACTGTTTTTGGAGTTTCGAATTGAGAAGTGAAGTTTCCTGAATAGCACCTCCCAAGGTAATGGAAGGAGAACGCTGTCACATGCACCAGTTTTAAGACAACTAGGCAGTTTTAATTTTTTGTATCACATGCACATATCTACGGAAAGAGAGGGGAAACCAAACAGTAGCAAAACAAGCGTAAGCCAGTAGGTGTATAGGCACTGAAGGAACTCGACTGTGCTGGCGAGGTGCGGTGTACTCGCCCGACCAAATGTCTCGGCGGATTCAACGTACACACTATGCACGATGCTGGGGATGGGAAAGCTTATGATGCGTGTCTAGAGAGGTTACGTGATAGGGTCACGTGCAGGCGGCCAAAGCGGCCGCGCTCCATACGGGTGGCGAAAGAGATGAAACGAAGTACATGTACAGTGCCCGAAGGAAATTTCCTGTATCGCTGTTACGTTCCTCTTTATTCTTGACAAAGGATTATTGCACGAAGGCTGAATCAGTGACCATGGCTTCTCCTAAGTTTTCGAAAGTGTATGACGAGTTAGATGACTCCAGCAAATGCCGGTACCGTGAAAAGCTGGAGCGCGCTGCACCAGACTCAAGTGATCCGTACCTGCCTGCATGATGCTGCCGATTCAGGGAAGTTCTGTCTAGTAAAGTCCGGCGGAGCACTCCATCTTAAGCAAGACCACATGTACTACTACCAAGTGCAGCTACAGATGCTGTTGTGTGTAAGGTGCCGCAGTAGGATGCTCGAACATGTACTGAGCAAACTTATGGGTTAGCTGTCATCCCAGCAGAGGATGAATATAGATATGAATAAATAGAAAAAGTGACTGTCACCACCAGGACTCGAAGCGGCAGGGACCTTGGCTTGAGGCCAGCGATGCTCTAACCACTGAGCTATGGTGTAGCTGTTATGCCAGCAGAGGATGGATAATAATAGTTACAGTTCGCATGTCACTCATGGAAGGATCCATGGGCTTAACGCATCTGTCAACGACATCCAGGCAGAAGAGCCGACAAAAGGCATCTCATTATTGTTAGAACGTATCGCAGTAAGAACAACTACGCAAGCGCAGCACATTTTTCCACAAGCATCAGGCATTTTTCTTGTCTAGAGCCAGTTCAAAACAGTCAGAAATATCAATATTGGCGTGCTTTAGATCATTTTTAATATTGTCAATCCATCTGAGATGGGGTTGGCCACGGATGGATATAGATATGAATAAATAGATATGAATAAAATTAATGGCAATAAATAAGATAAATTGTGCACTCATAACAACAGCAAAAATGAAGAAAGTCAAGTTCCATAACGTTTTCTTGTGACTGTCATCAGTGGAACGCCGTCACATAAAAATGTAATAACTAAAACACACACTTATATACATGTAGCTAATATGGTTTCAGGTAGAAATACAGCAGCTAACAGGTACAAAAAGGGAAGTTTTCATCTGCCACTACCTTTCTCACATACACTATATTCACACATTGCAAAGGTGCAAACTTCCCTTTTTGTACCTGTTAGCTGCTGTATTTCTACCTGAAACCATATTAGCTACATGTATATAAGTGTGTGTTTTAGTTATTACATTTTTATGTGACGGCGTTCCACTGATGACAGTCACAAGAAAACATTATGGAACTTGACTTTCTTCATTTTTGCTGTTGTTATGAGTGCACAATTTATCTTATTTATTGCCATTTTACGACTATTGTCTCCTCGTCGATTGTTTAAATAAAATTAATAGTAACAATAATGGGAATGGGATAAACCGGCTTCAAATTCAAGGTTAATATTTATAAATAATAATAATATTTGAACTCGGATGGTGAGCCAATATATTATTATTTTGTCCTTTTCCTTTCTTCATCATAATAATAATAATATTATAGCAATCATTACAGCTGACGAAGCAGCATGATAATAATTTCATTGTCTACTCGAAAGGTGCAACAGACTCGCAGATCACAGCAGATGGTGACAACCTTGTCAATGAATGCACACGATGTAGCTTGATCGTCATGCATGAGGAAAGCCATAGGCAAAGTGCCAGAGAGGATTGTGTAATTCTGGCGAAGCATTCCGATTACTCGCTCCACGTGGATACGGACGCGTGATACTTGTCGGGCACTGTCCAATTTCAGTTTGGAGAGTTGCTTCTTCCCCTTCGTAAATGGGGGCATTACCAACTCTGCGCAGAACATACCAACACTGTCTTCAACAGCGAAACCACGGTCAGCCACTGGTCACCCGGATTTAGGTGACTATAAGCAGCCCGCAGTGCTCCGTGATGAACTTGTCTGAGGCACTCCCGCCCCATGCATGCGAAATAAATGTAATGACACCTTGTGGCGCTACGCCAATTAAAAACATTGGAGTGTTATGGCCTTTATAGTGAGAGTACGTTCGAGCTCTTGCACTCAAATCAGAAGGTCGTTCACAAACAACTTCAAAGCAGTCAATAATGACAGCACAGCCCGGGAAATGCTTACGAAATTCAAGTGGCAGAGTTTTGCGTAGTTCGTCGCTTTCCGGCCACTTTATGAGTGGTCCCAGCATCACATGCATCACCCGGATCTAGCGCTGGAAAATCCGGCACACGGTCGACTGGTGAATGCGGAATCCAGACCATCTGGTAAAAGGAGAGCGATCGCTCTCGCGCGCCTTCGCTCTCCTTATTTTCTTTTAGGGCGCACTATTCGTCGCGCGCCTTGAGAATTTTGAGCGCATCCGGATCACTATGAAATTCTGAAAACACTCAAATATTTCGTAACTCGGCTTTCCCTGAACGGAATCGAGTATTCGAAAGGTGTATTCACATTAGAAAGTTCTCAGCTGTCGCCTCCAACAAATCGGAAGTCGATCCGAGGTCCAATAGTGGAGTTATGGCACTTGCAAGGTATTTTACGTACCGTTGCAAATTTTCACTTCCGCTCTTGGGTGGAAATCATAGTTTTTTGACATAAAGGATTTCCCTCTGTTGCGTAACCAGTCCGGGCATGCATAGACCTGTGTGACGCCAGGCACAGGTCTTTAGCGGTCAGCTACAGAAGAAAGGAGCGCTCTACGATGAATACTACAGAAATACCATGGATCTTAGCGAATTGTCTCAATTTCCCATTGCGTGTGTCATTGTCCCTGATGAAAGGAAACTGAAGTTGTGGTCCGAACAGCTATCATTTGTAGTGCGTACGGCGATTTTCCAGAACGAATTTGGCAGCTACTGGGTATTGAATCCGATTGGGGTATGGCAAGATGTTGAAAAAAAACCGTATTGTGCTCGCCTTGGATAGATAAGGCGAGCGACTTTTTTTTTGTGGGGGGGGGGGGGTGGTGGAGACTGCTCTCCCACCACTCTCCTTGAGAGGATAGCGAGAGTGATAGTTCACTCTCCTGAATTTTTCTTACACGAAGGTCTGGGAATCTGTACGCCAGGTCTTGGTCCCGACAATTCAGCCGAAGCTTCATGAGGACAGTCAAGAACTGCTGGAAGAGAGAGCGCGTATGGCGGTGGTGCTGTGGACTTCTCTTCCTCACGTGTTCAAATATACCCATCATGGTCCCTAACGACTACAAACCAGTATAGAACCGCACTTTCGCGTTGTCTTTCTCAAAGACTCGCTTGACAAGGTGTCACCTTGTCCTGGAGCGTTTGGTCTCAGTTTTCTTTCCACGACCAAACGGTTGTTTGTTTCCTCCAGCCGTGTCAACTGCTCCATATCCATGTCCGGGTTTGCGATGAGACGCTGGCCACTGCTACCGGATCAGACTCTATCTCTGCACCATAAGCACCAGGCAAATCTGCCCCATTGCCTCTGTAAAGTCATTAACGGAGGCGTTCACCTTGACTGGTGGCTGTGTCTTGCTCTCCTCGAACGTCAGCTTCCGCTTCGCTCGGCGTTCACATGCCACTAAATCCCACTTCGCTTTCCGCTTTACAGGAGTCCTGACATGTTCAAACAGTTTCGGAACGTAAGCGGGAGATAGTGGATCGTTACTCTTCTCTGCGCCTACAAAATGGTCTGAACAGATCCTGCTGCTGTCAGTTGGCTTCCAATTCTCTCGTCTCATAGCCGCAACCCAAAGTTTGCCGCGCTCGACCGCTACAGGAAACTTGTAAAACTTCACAGCCGTTCCCGGATAGGCACGATGTGCTGCATCCGACAGCTGCACAACTCTTTGGCATGCTGAAGCCTAGAAAAAAGCGGGACACCAGCGGAACTCAAAGCAAAGGTGATGGATGACAACCAACTACAAATTATTATTCTACTTTTCCTCTCAAAGTAAAAAATAGTCCCAAGAAGAAAGGACGACTTCTTTTTGCCACCCCTGCTACTCGCAGCCGCCTTGGCGCTCCTCGTGACGTCATTCGCATAACCTCTATCCTGTTTGTTGTTGTTGTTGTGCTGTGTATCTAGATGAAACTGATGGCCAGGATGAGAATGAAGACAATGAACATCTTACTCTGCTATTCAGGTTAGAGACTTGATCAAATGTGCTTGATCAAATGTTCTCACCCCCCCCCCCCCTCTTATTCTCACCTCTCTTATCCTCTCTCTCTCTTATCCTCTCTCTCTTATCCTCTCTCTCTCTCTCTCTCTCTCTCTCTCTCTCTCTCTCTCTCTCTCTCTCTCTCTCTCTCTCTCTCTCTCTCTCTCTCTCTCTCTCTCTCTCTCTCTCTCTCTCTCTCTCTCTCTCTCTCTCTCTCTCTCTCTCTCTCTCTCTCTCTGTCTCTGTCTCTGTCTCTGTCTCTGTCTCTGTCTCTCTCTGTGTGTCTCTCTCTCTGTGTGTCTCTCTCTCTGTCTCTCTCTCTCTCTCTCTCTCTCTCTCTCTCTCTCTGTCTCTGTCTCTGTCTCTGTCTCTGTCTCTCTCTGTCTCTCTCTCTCTCTGTCTCTCTCTCTCTGTCTCTCTCTCTCTCTCTCTCTCTCTCTCTCTCTCTCTCTCTCTCTCTCTCTCTCTCTCTCTCTCTCTCTCTCTCTCTGTCTCTCTCTGTCTCTCTCTCTCTCTCTCTGTCTCTGTCTCTGTCTCTGTCTCTGTCTCGGTCTCTGTCTCGGTCTCTTTCGCTGTCCACGTTAGCTGATGTGTGTGTGTGTGTGTGCATGTGTGTGTGCCCGCATTATGTATGCACTTTTACCTTTCTCACCTAGGTGTCCCCGTGGTTCTGAATCAGTGCGGTACAGACCTCTCAATGAGTCAGAACTCTGAGAGACACCCTACCAACAGGCACGGCACAAATTACTTTGTGAACACGTGCGTGAGAATGGAGGAAAGTGCAGCTGAACAGCACAATCAAAGAACGGCAAAGTCAACTTGTGGGAAGACTTCAATCGGCTGTAGGTGCATTGCTGCATTAAATTTTTCACGAAATCCCTTAGGATAGGGTGACATTGAAGTGGAAGAGAGCTTGTTTGAATTCCTTTTAGGGTGGGTTTTGGGGTACGGGAGAGTTTATTTTGTATTGTGCTCTCTTGCCCTGTAGGAACCTTGGCTGCATATTAATAATTCTGACGGTCTTTGAAATGAAAGCACAATCTAAAGGATGGTGTACATGTACTTGTATAAACTCAAAGTTTAGTGAAACATCGAGAAGAGTGTTGAATGTGTTTTAGTGCTGCTTTTTAGTTTTGTTGGTATTCTAGTTTCTTCAATCGTGCTCAGAACCATTGTGATGACTAGATATGTACATTGTACTGGTATTCCTGGCTCAGGCATGATCACTGTGTCACCAGTGTTTATGCCTACATGCACGTACTTGTTTCATTGCCGCTGAGATGCTACTACTACCACTAGTCATGTTTGTTGCCTTGCTGCATGTTGATCTGTTAACATTTTAGGACATATTTACGTTATCTACCACAGCAAATTCTCATATTGTCTCATTACAGAACATTCTGGGTTCGAGGCGAGTCTTCTGCTCCCTGTGTACTGTCTGTTGTGGAACACCCCCCCCCCCCCCCGAATTTCAGGTTTGTGGCAAGCATGTGGGAGCTAAAAAAACACACCACACAAGGTGAACGGTGTCAGGATGTCAGGATGTTGATATTGTCAACAAATCACTAAAATGTATAAAGAAGGGAGCACTAAAAAAACTAAAAAAAACTATCTCTACTTGTATCTCTACTTGTATGAATATATTAAAAAATCCTTGTACTGTTGTTATTGTGACAAGAACAACGTAAACAAATTTGATCTTGATTATGTTTACGCGAAAATCTGAAGCCCGAACTGCAAGCTAATGAGCTAGCAATAAAGAAAAGGTGGGGCGGGAGATATAGACTGACTACCCCAACCACATATATATATATATATATATATATATACACTAACAGAATGCATCACACTTCAGACACTAAGCAGGATTAAAAGATAGAAAAAGAGAAAAAAAGGAAGAGTTCAGAGAAATTTCCGTGTATACACATCACACTGCATGAGAAGAATGGCCGCCATCTCACTTCCACACCTTGGAGAGCATGCGATCACGAGCGGCAGTTATGCTGCCGGTGCCCTGACGACTGCTGAACGTTCGGCTCTTCTTCAACGTGGCTAAGCGCGACGGACCACCCGCCACTGTCAGAGACTGTTGTTGGTGGCACGTGGCCCCGCCGGCAGACTTCCTGGAGTGAGAGGCGACGGGCTCTGGCGACGGCGACTTTTGATGCGGCGCCGAGGAGTCGGCTGATGGCTTCTGTAACTGGTCACGTGAAGACTGACGTGATACTGCAGTGTGTGCCCGCGCACCGTCCTTGGGTTGCTTGGAACTATTCCACGGGGGCCTGGGGCTGCTGGTACCACTAGGGAGAGATTTCCGGCAGGATGCCGAACGTCTAACAGCAGCGGACGATGGTGATGTTGGAGAACTACTGCAAATGCCTGGAGGTTTCTGCTTGGATTCGGCAATCTTCGGTGTGGCAGGCTGATCACTTTGTACAGAGAATGCCGTAGTCCGCCGAGCCTTAGGCTTGGCATCTGTCTTGTCCTGCGTGCCTACGGGGTGCTTAGCAGTAGTGGATGTGAGCGTCTCCGTGGACTGCTGTCTAGAAACATGTACAGATGCGGCTGCTGACTTGCTGGGAGATTTGTCCCTGGATGGTGTACTGCAACTTGTATCCGACAGGGCGGCAGCATCGAGCACACCGGATTTCTCACAGACATTGCCGTCAGGATTCTCTTCATTGATACTGCTGTGCCGCCGCCGACCGTTAGGACTAGACTGCTGCTCAGCCTCTGGCTGCTGCTGCTTCTCTAAATCCTCTAAATCCGCTGAGAACCTGATTGCCTTTGTCGATGATGCGCGGAACAAGGCTTGCCTTGCGCTACCACCAAGGTCTTCTGTAGCTACTCTCGCAGAAGTAGCGGCAGCATTGCAACTTTCCAGATCTGACCCATCCGTGCATCCAAAGTCTGACACCCCACCCTTGCTACTATCGGGAAGTGCCTGACGATTGGAGTTTGTAACATCGGCGGGAGGAACTGGCTTTTTGCTCGGTCGAGGGGACGATGCAGGAGAGCTTGCACCGGAATTCGACTGCAGCTTATTGACATGAGACTTGGAGCTTGGCGAGATGCCCTTAGAAACGGATGGTGAGGTCTGACAGGTATCCCTGTCTCCTTCAGCTACTTTCCCTTGGCCAATCCGGGCACCACCTGGCCGTTTCGTGGATACACTGCGACGCAGCGAGACAGAACTGCTATTGAGCTTAGAGTGACCTGTGCCGGCTGTACTAGATTGGCGAGCAGGAGTAGAGTTCGCGCTGGATGGCGTGCTCTCAGTGACCGCCGATGTGGCGCAGCTGGCAGCTTTCGAGAACTGTACACCGGTGCCGCTTTTCCTACTCTCGGCCCGTGCACTGCTGCTATTGTTGCTACTGTTACTATTGCTGCTGCTGCTGCTGCTGCTGCTATTGATGGTTGCTTTTGACTGTGGACTAGGCGTGCTCCTCTTCACACTGCTGGAGCGATTGCTAGCGGACTTAAACGACTGAGATCGTCTTGTTGCAACAGCTGACTGATTGGCCTTACCTGCTTGAGGGGCACTAGGTGTGGTAGTCCTTGTTAGGCCTGGGTGCGAGGTAGAGAGTGTGGTTCGCTGCGAGCTATCGCTGTTTTGAGGTGCTTTCGTGGAACCTTGCTGTGCGTCGGAGGCAGTCAAATTCATCAACACCACTTTCCTAGCTGCTGTTGTCGTTGAACTTTGTCTACCGGAGAAAGAAGTGCTGCGTGGCCGTCTTCCAACCGTGTCCACGCGCGCTTCAGGTGAGTCCCTGTCGGATATTGTACTTGAAGATGTAGCTGATTGATTCATCTTAACTGCTTTAGAGGGAGTAGGGGTAGTCCTTGTCGGGCCTGGGTGCAAGGTAGAAAGTGCGGTTCGCTGCGTGCTATCGCTATTCTGAGGTGCGTTCGAGGCAGCCAAATTCGTCAACATCGTTTTTCTAGCTGCGACTGTAGTTGAACTTTGTCTACCGGAGAAGGAAGTGCTGCGTGGACGTCTTCCAACAGTGTCCGCCCGTCCTTCAGGTAAGTCCCTGCCGGATGATGTCCCTGAAGATGCAGCTGACTGATTCGTCTTAACTTCTTTAGAAGCAGCAGGCGTGGCCCTTGCTGGGCCTAGGTGCGAGGCAGAAAGTGCGGTTCGCTGCGAGCTATCGCTGTTTTGAGGTGCTTTCGCAGAACTGTCCCGTGCCTTGGATGCAGCCAAATTCATCAACACCTTTTTCCTAGCCGCGACTGTAGCTCCACTCTGCCTGCCGGAGTAGGAACTGCTGCGTGGACGTCTCTCCACCGTGTCTACGCGTACTTCGGGTGAGTCACTACTGGATGTTGTACCTGAAGATGCGGCTGATTGGTTGGTTTTAACTGCTTTAGAAGCACTGGGAGTGGCAGTCTTTGTTGGGCCTGGATGCAAGGTAGAAAGTGTCGTTCGCTTCGAGCTATCGCTGTTTTGAGGTGCTTTCGTGGAACCTTGCTGTGCGTCGGAGGCAGTCAAATTCATCAACACAACTTTCCTAGCTGCTGTTGTCGTTGAACTTTGTCTACCGGAGAAAGAAGTGCTGCGTGGACGTCTTCCAACCGTGTCCACGCGCACTTCAGGTGAGTCACCGCCGGATGTTGTACCTGAAGATGCAACAGGAAGGCAAACTGGTGGCTTGCTACCCCTGTCAGCAAAGCATAAGGTTCTGCCTTTCTTGGCACTTGCCATGCAGTGTGTGTCTGCATCAGAGGATGTCACATTACGGGACAGTCCATCAGCAGAAGAGGGCACAGACGATGATAAAACCCCTTTGCATTCGACACTAGCAGACGCATTCGGCTTACCGAGACCGAATGCTTGCGCCGCTGGTAAGCTTTCGATGCTCGTTGGCCCGTTTCTATGCACACCTCTCCTTCTCGCAGCGTGACCAGACGCAACGGAAATGGTGCTCGACCTAAGGCGACCACTTCTTTGCGCAACCTCATCACCACGGACGTGAGATGCAGAGGCAGCAGCATCACCAGTGCCTGCTGATGTACAACTGGCAGTTCCACAGCTGCGAGCTTTTTCAGCAGGCGATTGGAGAACAAGACGTGAATCCAGATCAGTCGAGGCCGACTTCTTCAACTGCTCTCCCGGCTCTGGCTCGTCGCGCGACGACTGGAGAGAGGCCTTCCTGGTCAACATGGAGATTCTCATGCGCAGGCGCTTCATCTGAGACACGTCAGACACGTCAGACAATGTACCGTGGGCTGACGGTTCAGCTCGGTCCACTGATCCATCCGCATTTGCTTCTACAGGTGGTGTAGCGTTGCTGGAGGTGCCAACGTGCCGAGTTTTGCCCGTGGTGGCGTGTTCTGGGTGGGAAGAAAGGCGCAGACAAAGAAAGTAGCCAAACGACAGTTACTCATGTACAAGCAAAAGAAATGTGCTCGTATGTGTGCTTGTGTGCGCGTGTGTGTGTGTCGAGCGTGGAGACTGGCCTGCAACACCATCCAGCCGCCTAAACCTGTGTCTCGGGATTTCAGGTGCCACTGCGGCTGAGATTTTCGCCGCCGCCGGGACCTCACTCGCCACTCGGAGTTCTGTTCCCCGTGACTGAAACACTTTCGGTCCTTTCAGGACCTGCCATCATCTACGGATGGGCATTATTGTATTGTATTGCATTGTGTGTGTGTGTGTGTGTGTGTGTGTGTGTGTGTGTGTGTGTGTGTGCGTGTGCGCGCATGTGTGTGTCAGAGTATGTGGTGTGGTGTGTGTGTGTCAAATGGCCCGATATCTGAGACTTTCGACCTTCGGGGCTACGCGGTTTTTTTGAGAAAACACTAAAAACAAATTTGTTCGCAAAAAAATCGATTCCGTCAAAGCAAAGTGCAGAGACGACAATGGCGGAATAAAATTGAAGGCGATTCTTGTGTCAGTTGGTTATTGGGCTCACGGAGCACAGCAGCCGCGATCCCATGGACGGTGATGCATCGTTCTTTGTGGATATCCTGTCAAGCGGCAACAGCGCTTCTAGTTCTGAGAGCGCATGTCAGGCGAATCGTTCGCAAGTGACACGCGGTACTTACCTGTCGGGGGCGACGATGATGAGGACTTGCCGGGCCTGGATGAGTATGATCAAGGCTAACCACAGTCTGCCTCAGCGATAGCTGCTACAGCTCCAGGCAAGGACAACCAGGTGGATTCCTGAGGGTACGCCGCTTGCAAGGTCGCTGGGCGCCCTTGCGCGAGTGGCAGAACTGTTTCCTGAGTGTCACGCCAGACCTGCTAAAACAGCACGAAATGATGCGAGTTTTCTTTGCGACGATGATCCTAAAATGTTTGGGATGGCAAGCTCGATACTCGAGCTAATAATGGCGAATCAGACCATCACGGAGCACATGAGGCTGGGCAATCTCGAGTAACATTCTGTTACTTTTGAGTTGGTGGTGTGAAACGCTTGTCAGGCTGGTTTACTGATGTTTGGAAATGGTCAGTCTCCACAAAGTGCAACAAGGCGAATCTGGACGCATTTGCTCTGTTTGACTCCTTCACAATAAGTATGTGAATGCTGTCACATGTATCATGGTGTTCCATCAAAATCTGTTGCAGACTATCCTGTCAAGCATGTCCATCACCAGGAGAACAGATAAATCACCTCTCCTTCTAATGCTGCTATTGCTGCTGTTGCAACTACACAACCTCAATAAAGTCACGGAATGCTGGAAATGAAGTACCTGAACAGTAAAAACACTTTGCTATATTAGTTGGCTAGTGATATCACATAGAAACAATTTTTTGTGGCTCCAAACACACTGATCTTTCAAAAATGTAAAAAAAAGAACAATTCATTAACATGACTCCTGACTGTAAAATGCACTTCTACATGGTCAATATTGGTCTGATGGCCGTGAAACGAAGTCACAATACTCTACCAAGGCAAGACATCAATTTGCAATAAAAAAATCAATTTCACCAAAACAGCCCCGAAGGTCGATTTTCTCAGATATTGGGCCAAATAATGAAGAATGTAAAAAAATGAAAAATGAAAAATAGGGATTCACTGGCCAGAAAAAGCCACTTCAATCAGCTGTGTGGTGTAGATCAGGCCAAAATTAGTGGCGGTCAATTCATCAGCCTTGCAAGCTGTTGAATGGTGTAATCCCAGCACAAGCTGCTATGTCTAACATAGCTGTTCGCTATCATCGCTTCCACGATGGGCAGGTCTGAGGTCTCGAGGCCCGAGGTGTGTGTGTGTGTGTGTGTGTGTGTGTGTGTGTGTGTGTGTGTGCGTGTGTGCGTGCGTGTTCGCACGGGCGAGTAGATGTGCGCGTACATGCACGTGTTTGTACCAACTCAAGCGGTTCGGCATGCAGCAAGAGCCCCCCTGGCCTCTGTCCCTTATCATCCTGTGTACACGTGCATTCATGAAACGCGTCACATCGTGCATCTAATCGCCACATGAAGCATTGCTAGTAGCATGCAATCAACAGCCGTGACTGCACTGGATTGTGACCATAACACATCAACATTGTCCTACCTGGTGCCCGGCACGGGTCATACTTTTCCAAGTACGTAGGCAGCTGGCACCACCCACCACCCACTCGGATCATGACATGATTCCTCAGCACCTACAGCAGATCGATGATCAGCAAACGAAAGGAAGAGGGCACAGTCAAAACATGCCAGTGATGGAGGCAGAATGGAGAGGATACAGATAAACATGCCAGTGATGAAGGCAGAGGATACAGATAAACATGCCAGTGATGGAGGCAGAGAAGGATACAGATAAACATGCCTTGTCAGGAGTAACACTACTCGCTTTCGTGGGGTGTGGCCGGTGAACTGTTCGTGCTGTCGTCTGCAAGCGTCGTGTGGTCTCGTCTGGTCAAATGAAAATTATACCCCTATTAAAACATTCGAGAGGGGCTTATATCGTTTCATTCCATACCAGTATTCCAGTATTCCAATCGAATCTCTAAAACTTCATAATCACACAACCTCATGCGTACATGTAGTGTAGGACGTGAACGCCGCACACCAATGTCGGATATACACTGTACACTGTACTGATTGTACTTCTGCATGTGTACTACTGCCTCTCCCGCCAACCAGTACTTGAGCAGATCATGGACACTGCTCTCTCTCTATCTCTCTCTCTAAGTGGGTACACTGCTTGGGAACACGCCACCTGTGCGGTAGGGTGTTTTGATGATTTTAATTCACCTTTCCTTGGCCAGGAAATACTGGAAGAGGCCAGTGCGATGGGTGGGGATGTGATAGTCAGTGACAGCAGTAAAGAATGTAATACGTAAGAAGAACACAACATGCTAGGGGAGTTATGAGAACCCCCATCACAAGCCGAACATCTTGTTCCTTTTTTCATCAGGCCGTAACCAGTTTCACTGCTTACTACTTCAGTACTGCACAGACCATCACAGTGATCAGCATGACCAATGGAACTACACAACGTATAGGACTGCGCACGGGTAGTGGGGCTACCATGTTTCCCGAGCACCCCACGCGCTAATCACTAGTTGGGTATTGCAGAGAAAATGTCGAAATACCCACTCGGGCATTAGGCTTGAACATGTACATTCACATGTCTAGGCATAATACCCGATTAGTAATGGCATTATGCACATGTCTAGGCATAATACCCGATTAGTAATGGTATTATGCACATGTCTAGGCATAATACCCGATTAGTAATGGTATTATGCACATGTACAATCATGCGCATCATCATCCTATAACTTCTTCTTCTTGGTAGTCGGGAGGTTAAGAAGCAGCATATGAGGTCGGCTGGAGAGCACATGTGCTGGGGAGATAGAACTACATCTCAACATGACGGCGAAAGAGAAAGATGCTTGGTTCACGTCTGCGGGTTTAGCAAAGACAATGCCTCTTAGCAGTAGTCTTACACTGGGCAAGAGAAAGACTGTGATACTGGAGACAGCGCGTCCAGTTTGGTGCCAGCAGCAGCAACACCTGCAACACTGGAGCTGCGGCAAGCTGGACATGTTTAGTAGGCATTGAGCCACGCCATAAGCCTGGTTTATCATCGAGCACATCAGAGTCGGCTGATGACACTGACCAAACAGGGCTGGTCCACCAAAAGCTACCCAACCGCGTCTATTGCCAGCAGGAGGAGAAGAGGACCATTCGCGGAGTGAAACAGATGAAGGCCAAGGAGAGAATCGCTCTCGTGGTGTGCACCTCTGCTGTTGGAGAGAAAGTTCCACTTGCTGTTGTTGGAAAATGCAAGCGTCCGCACACCGGCACCCCCCCCCCCCCCCCCCCCCAGAAGTGTGACAACACTGTAAGTAACATGCTAAAGGAGTTACACTAGACGGTCAGGCACAGTTACTTGCATTGCTAGCCAACCAGATTGAAGAGCTTTACAAAGAAAGTTGAAAAAAAACAGGTATCGAATTGACATCGGTCCAGAAACGGATCTCCACGCTGGAGAAAAAAGATCAAAGATGGCGACAAGACCCTGTCCAGAAGCATGACTGAGACTGCAAGACTCAAAGAGCACACTGATAGTGCTCATACTGTCCAGATACAAGATGAAATTTCGAACCTGATGAATGACTGAAACGGAAAGAGCAGCGAGGGTAACCCCATGCATAGACACCAACCCCGGTGAGAATGGCCACAGTGATTTTGTGTGCCATGGAGATGTAGAAGCTCAAATTAGAGAAGAGCGGGAGTTTGTATTCGTCAGCAACGACCTGACCCCAGCGCAGCAGGCTGTACGGAAAGCTGTCGTGCCGCTTTCAGAGGAATGATTTCTGGGATGCTGACGACGAAGCAAATCTGTTCGCAGCCGCTGCTGAGAGATGCTCATCTCTGAAGGAGCTGGTGGTGCCTGAAAGAGCTCTATTGTCACCACGGCTGCGCGAGGCTCTAAGTGCCATGGCCAGAGATGATCTGAATGTGCAGTATGAGCATCTTCCTTGGTTCGATGAAGTGGAGAATGACGAAGAGGGAGACGAGGACGACACTGAAGGAGATAGTGATAGTAGGGAATGAGGAGGTGAGAGAATTTACAAAGACAGATTTTGGGTCCTGATGAAGAAAGCTCGTGTTGGTCTATCGCCTCTTCCTAGCATACGGTCAGTCTGTGAATGTTCTTTGGATTGTACGCGTACCCTCAATTGTCGCCATACTTGAAGTATGAGAAACAAACTGGCCAATGATAGAGGCCTAATTGACCAACATCACATACACAGTAGATATTTTGTGCATGACGGAAACATGGCTGAACTCAGCCATTCCAGATGAAACCACTATAATCCCGAGATTCGACCTGTTCCGTCGTGACCGGTGCTAGTGCATCACCGAATGGATTGAATTCGGTGGCGGCGGGGTAGCAGTTCTCTCTTTGTCAGCCCCTGGTGCTATACGCCGCCGGGATCTTGAGTAAAATAATTCGGAGATGATAGCCATCGAGATAGGAGCTGTGAGCAGCTGGCTGTTGATAAGAGGACTTCCGCGCCGCTTTAGTGCGTCGACTTAGCCCAATGATGGACCACCTGTGTTTCCTGCTGGAAGGAAGCGCAATCACGAGTCCATTTCCGTGCCTGACCAATTGCCGGTAGCCACTTCAGCACGCGTGAACTGTGCGCTTTGTTTTAAAAAGGAGATGAAGACGGCTGTCTCGCAGAAACTTCCATGGCCGGCCACTTTATCTGTGTGTGTGTTGTGAGGGTTGTCACTGTTGCCATGAATACCACCAAGCCATCTGTGAGCTGAAGAGAGGAACACTTCTGAACATAGAAGCATGTAAATACACCCTACACAGTCACTTGAATGCTGAAAAATCGTATAATGTTTACATGTAGAATACGTACGGGGATGAAAATTTAAAAAAAAATTCATCTGCGTGCGTATTCTACATTGTACAGACTAGAATATGTCAACTTTTACAACTCCGAATTTGATAATTTATATTTAATAGGTGACAGCTGGTTCTGTCTTCTTCCGGAAAGAGATCGTGTGTACTGTACAAATGTCAATCGTTTTTGACCTAGAGGACATTCTTCGGACATGGCATTTTTCCTGTACAAATGTTGCACCCCACAAAGGATCGGCTTACCCGGCAGAACAGCTTGGTCTGCTGTGGACCAAACAGGTACTTGCCCTCTCCGATCTTGATCACCTGGTACGGCACACCACACTTGCACTGACCTACAATCTGTTTGATCTGCAAGACAACGATTACGACAACAACAGCAACAGAAAAAGCATGCCGGTCAGAGAACAAGCAAGCAAGCAGCGAAACAAGAGGAGAAATATTGGTGGCTCTGAAATGACCAAACACCATTGGATTCGGGGCATGTCCCTGGTGGTGGTGGTGGTGGTGGTATCCCAACAGATACAGGAAAGTTACCTATTAATGGCAAGCTATACGCTGCAAGTATGCTGGTGTGTTGGTTCATTTATCACCAGGACCAAGAGAGACTCATCTGACTTCTCTCGCTCCCGACAACAAAATTAATAACAACTTCAGCATAACTATACTGTGTCGTACGATGACGGATGTACATAGAGTATAGCTACAATGAGAGGGCAACTGTGGACAAGAACAGTTCATCACAACTCCAACCTTCATGCAGCAGGTTATCACAAGTTGACTGAGTACACATGGCTGATTCTCTGGCCAACGTCATACATACTTGACCCGTCCAGCTGTACTTTTCAACACAACTTGGGGCAGGCCACCAGCACGCGTACAGGTCACAGCCACTTTGTACACTGCTTCTGTACAGTCCGGCATGTGTACAAGCTCAATGCCCGGATTGACCCAGCCCGAAGAGCTGAACATCAGTTAAAGGAGGTGGGGAGCTGTATCTCTTATTTGGCAGGTAGCCACAGTGGAACTCGAATATGAAGCACTAGCATGGTGAACAGCAGAGTGGATAGTTTCCGGGTGCTTCCTGTCCAAACACAGGTTTATCGGGTGTTAGCGTCGTGAGTTCCGCGCCTTCGGGAACGGACACGAATATTTATTTTTACTTTCTTGTCCAAACATACCGGACCTTTTTTCGGTACATGTACTTCAATATGCAGCAGTACAGTTGAACACACCAGTGGCCCGGACAATGTTCGTACAAAGCAACAATTGCACGTCTCAGAGTACTGTAATTTCACAAATTTTTCAGTGTGACAAAATGGCCGTGGTGCTTCCAATTTTCAGTGTACTTTTATTTTCGGTACGTTCGGTGCATCTGTTTCATGCCGAAAATTTCAATACACCGAACAAACACTAACACACATAATCCAATAGGGAACTGCTTCTCTGTACCAAAAATTTCTGTTCACCTAACTTGGCCTTTTGCCCTCATACCGAAAATATTGAGCACCGAAAATTTCTGAAATTAGAGTACTGTACACGTAAGTACAGTGCTGATCAATGAAATCCAGTCGCGAGAGTCAAGTTGGCGCCGTACACCTTTTCGCAGCCCAGTGTTCGCAGGTCTATATAATGTAGGGCTGCCCAACGCCCGGCGCGTACTTGAGAAAGTGGACTGGATTTTATTGAGCAGTACAAATCCGTGTTCCGTCAGCGTCAGTGTCAGCAAGTACATGTATGTAGTACAATTTGTTCCCAAAATAACTTCGGGACAGTCTGTTCATGGTTTTCATTTGTATTGGACTCGTTCTCTACACGTGCGATAATTTAGCGGCAATTCTAATGTTGTAGCGTTGTTCTCTTGTAATTTAGTGGAACCTGTATTGAGTAACTGAGTTTTATGTTTCGTTACATTGTCGACAGATCTCCTGTGTACCGGTTTTGTGGCACAATGATTATAGCCATTTGTCGTCTCCATTCTTGTGCAATCATGCATATGTAGGTTGGTTCTCTTCATGTTCATGTTATTGTGACCTATTTCATAGATATTGGTTGCCTTGTTGTTTTCTCTCCCCTCTCCTCTCACCCAAGCCATTCTGCAAAAGCGAAGCTGTGGACGCAGCATACTGCTGCTACACTTCAACGCGGGAATGCGTGTAATAATAATAATAAGTACTATACACAACAGAACAACAAGGACAATCAAGGCTTGTTTGCTGCTACTTTAAGTTTCATGCTCACGCAATCATCAGGTTGTTTTGTTCTGTTGTGTATTAAGCTCTGCCTTTGTGGTGTTGAGCACTGTCAGCACTCTGGGTACGTCCTTCGGTAATAAGTACTATATATAACTAGTCACTAGGTGAGTTCCACAGCATAAGTATACAACTACTCGAGTAGCTGTAAAACACGTGTGACTATGATTATGTTTTTCAAGTGGCACGCTGGTCTGCAAAACCAAATCACAGCATGTACGGCCGCTTGCAGCTCGTACATTAACCCATTGACTGCTGAGCCCGAATATATTCGGGATTCAGGATGACGTCAGGGCGCTGAGCCCGAATATACTCGGGCTGACAGGCTATCCTACCGTACTAAGCTCCGTGTTCCAGCGTAGGGTTGCAAGAGACCCCAGAGTCGAGCGGTACATTTCCGGCATTCAGTACGAGAGGTTGCGGGTACGAATCCCGCTTGGATACTTTTTTTTCTTCTTTTTCGTCCGGTGATTCAACTCAAATTGCCGACTTTTTCGTATTTTACGCAATTTGGATGAACTTACGTGTCGTATAGCATCTTGTTCCCCTTTCTAGGAACTATATCGAGTTGGTCAGCGTGATGATTATAGCCTTGGTCAACATTTCACAAGAGTTCAACAACCTAGTTTCTTAGACTATGAAGTTGTGGAGCTGTACATTGGCCATATTTTTAGCATTTTCTTCAGAGTCTCAGATGAAAGGCCCTGTAGCCCTCAATGGGTTAAAATGCGCCAAGATCCCCATTTCCCTGCCTTTCTCACTGCCAACGATTTCCTGCACAAACATGTCGCGTGTTCACATTGGTGATTGCGACCGGGAGAGTGACTCCTGCCCCTGTTGGACTACTGACAATAGAGACACCAAGCCCATGGTGACTGACAGTACCATACCAGATCGGTCCTAGTCCAGACACTGCAGCAAGTGCTACCTGCCTGACATGTGGCAAATGCACTGGAGCACTAAGCTAACTAACAGCAGTTAGCCATACATACATACATACATACATACATACATACATACATACATACATACATACATACATACATACATGCATGCATGCATACATACATACTCGGAGGGAGTTGTGGTTGCTCGTGAGAGTGCTCAATACACCAAGGTGCAGAGCCTAGTACACACACTTGAGAGGGACGAAACGCGTTTCTTCTGTAACTCTGAGTTTCACGGTTTTAACCGATCATCAGACAGCAACTTGACTACAATTTTCAGAAGATAAGATTGATATAGGCTGCAAGCTCGATCGGAGCTAGTTAGCAAGTGCAGGCTTGAAAATAAGTACCTCTCAAAATTCTCACCATCAGCCGTCACATAACCTTCTCACCACTCGCAGTCGCAGGTGAGGTGCTGCTCATAATTACCCCATTGTCCTTCTTCTTGCCTCCCTCAGAAGAACATGTGGTTTCATGAGCCTAGGCCTAAAGTGTATTTTTGCACCCCATCAACCAACTTACGCATTTTTACAATTACACTATCAGCCTGGATCATCCATTCGCGCTATGATCCAAGCTTGCAGCCTATATCAATCCTATCTTCTGAAAATTGTAGTCAAGTTGCTGTCTGATGATCGGTTAAAACCGTGAAACTCAGAGTTACAGAAGAAACGCTTTTCGTCCCTCTCAAGTGTGTGTACATACATACATACATACATACATACATACATACATACGTCGTCATGTAGAGGAGGGTGTTTCAAATAGGACATAGAACAATCCGCACTGATGATCGGTTTGGGTCTACACCATTTTGCTGTCAAACCGTTCCTATTCAAAACACCCTCCTCCACAAGTAAACATCTACATACATGTACGTCATGTACAAGTGAGCATCGCGCTATACACACACATCATGTACAAGTGAGCATGAGCATGACGCAGCAGCACAGTTATAGCAGCACAGTGACGGAGAGAGCACTCACCAGGGCATCCAGCGAGAGAACTTTAGCCGGCGCCGGTGGCCCTGCAGGTGACGCCGAGGAGGCTGACTTCTGTGCGCACTCGCCACCGCCACCACCATCACCACCGCCGCCACTTCTAGATAGATGTGATTCTGCAGGCATCGGGCACGTTATGGACTCCAGGCTGACCCCGACTACCGGCATTGAGCTGCCAGCGTCTTCCGCTTCCTCGGCATCGATCTCTTGTTCAAACTCAATGATCTGAGGCACATACTGAAACACACCCAGCTTGGAAGAGCGGCGAATCACTTCGAGAACGGACAGCAGGACTGTTCGCGGCGACTGCTTCTCGACCAGCCCGTTTGCCGTGAAGAGAATGGCGTCGGACAGTCCCATCGCGCGGGCAAACGAGATGAACGCGCAGGCGTTGTCGCGTGCAAACGCTTGGCCAAAGCGCGAATCCTTGGCCACCTTGCGCACTTTGACTTCCGACGACGTGGGCACCGACCAAGCTGGTGCACACTGACCACCACCATGGCCACCACCATTACCACCACTGCCCTTGCAGTCTGTACGTTGTGTGCTATCTGACTGCTCACTAAACGCCTGCTGAATGTACCTACACAGGTGACACAGGATCTCTCCACTGGCTAGGTCAGACGTGAACGATTCAGCTGTGATCGGGGCCATGTCAGGGATAACAGGACTCAGCGTTGTCCACAGCCAATCGGCGATATCCTCACGAATCGGGTACAACTCGGCCTCATCGCTTGATTCGCGACTGTGACCACCATCCGACCGACCGAAAGGGAGTTTCATTTCTGCTAACGCTCCAATACCAGTAAGAAAGCAGGGGCTTTACCAGACTCTCGCTAACGAAAATAATACTACAGACAGTACAGTAATGTCAGGCTGCAGGATAATTAGCTGTGCATCGGCTGTTGCAACAGAACGTCAGGCTAGACACTGCGGGTACACAACAAGCACTTCTCACTTCCAACTCCCTGCCACTTGTCAGGAAACTCGTTTGCTTCACCGTTCACTCAGCAAGTAAGACATCTCTGGCCAGCTGTTTGGACTTCCCTAAAACTTATCGCACGGGAACAACTCAGAGAACTGCCTGGAGTGGGATTCTGCTACAGAATTGGCTCTCTTCTCTAGCTTCTCGTGTAGGTACGTATAGATGGGTGGACCACGAGCAGTGACGTGAGTATGGCAACCACTGACCGCCTCTGCTCCATCATACACTTGTAAAATCAAACAAGCGAGCAGAACCACAAAGGTGAATACTCCTCCTCAACTAATTCCAGCCGCTCAAGCAGGCATGACCTTGGGAAACTCTTTTTCAGTAAACACGCAGCAGTGCAGGGACCATGCTGACCTAGTACCTGAAGCATTCATGCAATGGACGTGGCATACTGCAACAATGTAACTTCCGACGCGACATGAATTCGAAACTTCTAAAAAAATGTATGCTTACTTCAACGAAGTTCAAGTGTGTTTTTCTTTACAACCTTTGTTTGGTGTGGAGTTTGGCGAAATCTTTGAGGAAAGCTGCGATGGCCGCGTGAGCCGGGCCTGCGCCCGCCGCCCTGATATCAGAATATTGCTGCTTTGCGGCTCGATACCTATCTACATGTACAGACCAGTCGCCGACCACCCGCCGTGTGCGATGTCCGGATGTCGGATGGTCGACCGCCGACGCGGTACGAGTCGTAGAATCTACTCAGTAAGTTGACTATGCGCTACGTCGACGTAGATCAACCCCGGCCCCTTAGTAGGCGTAGAATCTACTTACAATCACAATCTTTCGGATGCCAAACTTGTAACAGGTTTCCCCTGTTCTCTATAACTTTACACTCCCTCGCACCTCATGCGTCTTACGCCTGTCTATTAGCACCTTCATTGGCGCCATTGCCACATGTATACTATCACATTTTGCATATAACTGGTCGAGGCACGCTCAACCAGGCCTCTTACTTTTCAAGTTTGATTAAACCTGTTACACTGGTAGCAGAGGATGGTTACTACTCTGCTTTTGGCAGGTGTTCTGGTCGCTCTGCTTACGCTCCTCGTACTCGTCGTTCGGCTGATAAACGATATCAAGACCGCTCAGCGCGTTAGCCAAGGAAACCGAACGATACATCCGAACTCGGAACCGTGGGAGCCAACACCCCGCCTTACGAAAGAGCCGCCTGTGTTTGGAGGAGATTCCGCTACATTCAAAGAATGGACGTTTGCAATGGACATGGCCCTACGGTCGTTGGCGCTCCCAAATGCGGCACAGAGGGTCGACTACGCGGCAGGATTTTTGACTGGAAACGCTCGTCTTTGGTTGATAGCGGCATTGGAAGCTAACCAAGTGTTTTCCGACTGGCCTGCTCTGAAAGCGGCACTTGGCGATGTGTACGGACCACGGCATAACGAGGAAACATCGCGTATGGGACTAATTTCCGCAGCGCAGCGCGGGTCGCTGGACGCATACATTGCTGCTTTCACTCGCCTCAGCCTGCAAGTGCCGGAAATCGACCACCACACCAGAGCGCTGCTGTTCGTCAGGGGTCTAGTGCCGCACATCCAGCGACAGGTCATGCGTGAGCATCCACGTACCCTGGAGCAAGCTGTCATGGCAGCAAACACCGTGGAGCAGTCGTCAGGGCCACCGGCGTCGGGGCCACCAGCCAGTAGAGAGTCGCGTTCCGTGCCCAGCTTCCGTGGTCAGACTCAGGGCCTCCGCAAGCTGACGGACCAAGAGCGTGTCCAACTGCGAGCAATGGGACACTGCTTTGCTTGCAGGAAGCCAGGCCACCTCGCTAAAGACTGTACTGAGGGTGGACAGCGCTACCCAAACGCTGGTCGCCAGTAAGAAAGGGGGTGCGCTTACTGGCGACGACCCAAGCACCCACGCCGGTACCAGTCGCTAACCGGTTCGGAGCTCTGGAGGTTGAAGACGTTGCTCTCCAGGAGCCTACGGAGCCGGAGACACCCATAGCTGCAGGAAATTGTCCCGTTGCAGAAAGGTGTCATGTCAGCAACGTCAGCGTCGGCAATGAACCTGAACACGACCTACTGCGCATACAGGGAAAGATCGGCGGTCGCCGTGCAGTGATGCTGATAGATTCCGGTTCGACGCATGACTTCATTGCAGACAGTTTTGTTCGAAAGCATCATCTTGACACGGATGCAAGCTCAGCAGTGCTGAGCGTAACATTGGCGGACGGCTCGACCAGCGAGGTCCCGCAGATTTCCACACGCACGCTAAGGGTGACAGTCGGGGGCTTCAGTGAGGAACAGCACTTTACTGTGTATCCCCTGACTCGCTACGACGCTATTCTTGGCAAGCCGTGGCTTACAAGGAACAACCCCAGCATCAACTTCCGTACGAACGAAGTTCAGTTGGACGGTGAGCCCTTTGTTGCCAAATTGCCTTCAGCTAACCCGCCGACAGCCGACCGGCCATCTGTGGAAAGCATGTTTATCAGTGGCCGACAAGCTCGTCATGCCCTGAGGAGTGGAGCCGAGGGGTTTCTTGCATGGGTCACTGCTGCAAACGAGGAGAATCGTTCCGGGCCACAACTCCAGGAATCAGAGCAACAAGACATCCAGAACCTGCTCAAGAGGTACCAGGATTTATTTCCAGACGAGCTGCCGAATGAGCTTCCACCGAAGAGACCAGTCGACCATGAAATCCAGATAGAAGATGGAGCCAGACCACCGTCTCGACCCGCCTATCGCCTGCCGAAACCAGAGATGGACGAGCTCCAGTCACAGCTGTCAGAATTACTTGAGAAGGGATTCATTGAGCCAAGTAAGTCGCCATACGGTGCACCTGTGTTTTTTGTGAAAAAGTCGGATGGTACTCTGAGAATGGTGTGCGATTGGCGAGAATTGAATAGAATTACGATCAAAAACAAAGCTTGTCTTCCTAATATTGATGACTTATTCGACACGATCCAGGGCAGTGCATATTTCTCCAAGTTGGACTTGCGGTCGGGGTACAATCAAATCAGAATTCAAGACTCGGATGTTTCTAAGACGGCCATTAATACGCCGTTCGGCCACTTCCAATTTAGAGTCATGGGATTCGGGCTGACTAATGCCCCGGCCACCTTTCAGTCACTCATGAACTCTATTCTGCAACCGCATCTCCGAAAATTCGTTGTAGTATTCTTGGATGACATTCTAGTTTTCAGCAAGACCTGGGAAGATCATCAGCATCATCTTCAAACAGTTCTAGAAACACTTAGAAATAGTGAGCTGTATTGCAAACAGTCTAAATGCGAATTCGGCGTGAGAGAAGTTCTCTTCTTGGGGCATAAAATCAACGGCACATCAATTTCCCCTGATCCGAAGAAGATAAGTGCTGTGGAAACATGGCCAACTCCGTCGTCAGTAACTGATGTGAGGAAGTTTCTTGGCTTTGCAAACTATTTCCGAAGGTTCATAGATCGACACTCGACCATCTCTCGTCCATTAGAAGAAATCACCGGAAAAAAATTCACGCTTTGAATGGAGCGCTGCTAGACAGAAGGCATTCGAGTCTCTAAAATCAGCATTACTCGAGGCGCCAGTGTTGCAACTGGCCGATGTTGAGAAAAGCTTCACGGTAGAAACTGACGCAAGTGACTTTGCCGTGGCGGGTGTGCTCCTGCAGCAGGGAGAAGATATGGATTTGCATCCCGTAGCCTATTGTAGTCGGAAACTGTCAGCTGCAGAACGCAACTATACTGCGGCCGAGAGGGAAACGTTGGCTGTGGTATTTGCATTAAAGTGCTGGAGAATCTATCTATTCCGCCACTTTGACCTGATGACTGATAATATGGGTGTTGTCTATTTACGAACTAAACCGACTCTCACCAAGCGTGAGGCAAGATGGGTAGAGTTTTTAGCTGACTATGACTTTACGGTCTTTCACAAACCAGGAAAGAAAAACATTGCCGACCCGCTTTCACGCCGTCCAGATCTGTTCAGTGATTCTGAAATAGGCGGGTCATCCTATCCTCCTAACATTCAGTTGAATGCCATAGAGCATACCCTAGAGATTAATCCAGACTTAGCGCAGTTAATTGTCAGCGGTTACAAGTGCGACAAGGATCTTGCTCCCATTATCAGGAGACTGAAAAATTCAAGCCATGACAATCTGCACGACCGTTACCTTCTAAATGAAACACCCGGTTATCTTTATCTCAGATCTTCACCACAGAACAGGTTATGCATTCCAAAGAGTAGCAAACTCCGACTCGCCCTGCTTCAAGAATACCATGACTGTGTGACTGCGGGGCATCCCGGTCGAGATCGCACCTATTTCAGACTCGCTAGATATTTCTATTGGCCCAGAATGGGACTGGATGTAAAGGCGTTTGTCAAGTCGTGTGACGTCTGCCAACGAGTTAAAGGCGGCCAGCTAAAAACTGGTCTCGTGCAGAATTTACCAGTGCCCAGTCAACCGTGGGCGGATATCTCGATGGATTTTATCATGGGTTTGCCTAGGACCGATACAGGTCATGATGCTATATATGTATTTGTAGACCGCTTGACAAAGTGTGTACATTTAGCACCTACTTCCTCTACTATTGACGCTAAAGGAAGTGCTGATCTGTATATTCAACATGTATTTCGACTTCATGGTTTGAGTTCTAGTATTGTATGTGATCGTGATCCACGATTTACGGCAGCATTTTTTCAGGAATTGTTTGATCGCTTAGGAACGAAACTAGCATTTAGTACTGCCAATCACCCTCAGACAGATGGCCTAACTGAACGAGTAAACAGAATAGTAGAGGATGTGCTGAGGGCTTTTGTAAATCATAAACAAGATAACTGGGATATGCTCCTACCTCTCTGTGAGTTTTCTATCAACAGCGCTACTCAATCATCTACAGGAAACACACCGTTCTTCTTAAATTACGGTCTAAATCCCAGAGCGCCACCCGACTTCCTCAACCCTATTCAGGGAGGCAGAGATTCAGCTGATTGGTTGCAAGCAAGACAAGACGCGGTCAAGATCTCACAAGATGCGCTAGTGGCAGCTCAAGCTCGTCAGGCCTTCTATGCAGATCGGACAAGGGTCGAGGGAAAGCTGAAGGTGGGAGATTTGGTAATGGTCTACCGGGATTTCCTCCTGACTCCTGAAGCTCGGGACCGACCATCCCATAAATTACGCCCCAAGTGGTTTGGCCCCTTTCCTATAACCCATGTGGTCGGCCCGAATGCCTACAAGCTCAAGTTGCCTCATACCAGCCGCTGTCACCCGGTATTTAATGTGTCGGCACTCCGTGCCTACGAGAAGAACGCTATTCCTAATAGGAGACAGCCTACGCCTCCGCCTATCACGGACCTTGATGGTCATGCCCGCTATGTGGTGGAGAACATTCTCAGTCACCGCCGCCGGCAGAATCAGCTTCAGTACCTAGTCAAGTGGCAAGGCTACTCTGATGCCACTTGGGAGCCTG